CACTCGCCATCTCCGACGCACAGACGCATTAATTTTAAATCGGAAAGGGTGTGCGAGGCTGCACTGACAGCTACAGAGATGGAGCTGCTGGAGTGCTTTATCATTTTGGAGAACGATTTCTGTCTCTGCTAGAAATTACTTGGAGCTGACAAAATACAGTTGCTGCTTCAGTCTCTTAACGTTTCAAGCTAAATTGAAATGACACCTTTAATCAATGGATGAAACCATACAGGGTAGAAAATGAGCATTGCTATTACCTGTTTTAATTGCATACTTCAGGGTTGTTCTGCAGTTCAATAAAATTTCTTCCAAGGTCTGTGGCTGGTCCGCCAGTTCCCAGTTATATTCCTGGAGCAGCTCATTTGGGTAATGGAAATCAATAACTTTTGTTGATCTATCAAAACTTTTCACCACATACTGAAGTAAAATGTCCACAACGTCTTGCAGGAAAGACATAGTAGTTATTTCTCCATTGCATGTCGGCAGAAGATCTGGGAATGGACAAATTTAGAAGTTAACTTCGTTTTATGACCACATGCATAGATTCTGAACAAAGCCTTCTCCCATTTATGTTTACAAAATCTTTACACTGTAGTCAATAAAAGCATGTTTTGTTTTCATTTAATAACCAAATTGGCAAGGTTGTATTTTGAGGAATGTTCTTAAACATAACAAGATTTAATAGTTTATCTAAATTGTCCAATTCTGTCCACAGTATATTTCAGAGTAATTTTTAAGACAGTGAGACCAGGGAAACAAGACAAAAGGGAAAACAAATCTCACAGGAAATAAAGATTGAGCAACAAATGCTACAAGCAGCGCCCTTAAAACTGTCATTTGCCTTGCAATAAAATACCTTCTTGGTGACTCTCCCATGCAAGTGACTTGTTGATAATTTTCTGAGGCAATGCTACACGGGGTCTTGGTGTGCAGAAAGCTTTTGTTTAAGAGCAATGGCTCAGTCAAAACCAGACTATAGTGGAAGCCCCTAATTTGGGGTCCCGGGCTGCTGAGCAAACGGGAGAGTCCTTGGCTAGTGTATGTCGGCGGGGAGCTGGGACATATTCACTGGAGGAGACGATACCTCCAAGGTCAGAAAAGATGAACTGCAAAAATATCTCGAATTAAAGCAAATGAGTAGGAGAGTGCTCTGTCTCCCTCCTCCCCTCAAACCTTAATTACATCGCAGGGTCTTCAATGAGAAGGTCGATGCTTTCAGTGCTCCTTAGAAGGAAAAAGCTGCGGGCTCCAGTACGCGAGATTTTACTGATTTGGGTTTTTCTTTTCGGGATTTTTTGTTGTTTGCGTGATTTTTCGCAGATTTGAGAAATGCCCGGCGGGGGCCAGGGCTGAGGGCGCAGAGCTCCGCCGCGCACCGCCAGGCCCCCCACGGCTCCGCGCAACGCGGGCGGGAGCGATTTTCGGACCGAACCGCTGCTTTTTTTCTGGTTAGTTTTAGAGAAGCAGCGTGCCCCGGGAGCGCCGTTACCTGTTGAGTGCAGAAAGGCGTAATTCACGTCCGCTTTTTGACAACCGCAGGGCTTTTTGTCGCAGGTGCAGGTCGGCCTCGGCTCCGCTACCCCCGGGGCTGCTGCCCTGGCGCCGGTTTCCACGGGCTTCTCGGCATCTCCGTAGAGCAGGGCTTGACAGCGACACGGACAAACGGCCTCATTACCGGGGCATCGGCCCTCGTCCCCCGCCCCCCCGGCCCGGGGCAGGTCCCGCGGCGCTCCGTGGGCGCGCAGCCGCGCCCCCGCCGCGGGCTACCGGGGCCTCCCTGCCCTTACCACAGAGTTTGTTTCCGATCCCTCCCGTGAACTTCTGGGCAACCTGACACCAAGCTCTTGCTGTAAGAGAAAATCGAGGGGAGGGTCCGTGGGGCGGGAGCGGGCTGAGGGCGTCTCGCCCGACCCCCGGCCCCGCTCCCCAGGAACCGCCTGCCCCGCGGAGCCCCGCGGAGCCGGCCCGGGCTCGAGTCGCCGTCGGTCCCCGCCGCCCGCACCGCACCGCTTCGTCCCGCCGGTCGAGCTGTCACAAAGGGGCTCCGGCGACCGGGCAGCGCTGTCACGGCGGCTCCGTCGGGCCGGTCCCGCCCGGCCGCTCGGCGTCCTCCTACCTGTGCCGGGGGTCTCGGCGGCTGCGGAGCCCTCCTCGGCTCCGAAGGACCAGAAGCCGGAGCCGGGGCTTGCCATGGCGGAGGCGAACCGGCGGGGCGGGCGAGGAGCGGCGATCTGCAGCCCAGGCGGCCTGAGCGAGTGTGCGTGAGTGTGAGTGTGCGGGTGTGTAAGTGCGCGCGGCTGCGCCAGGCGGCGGCAGGCGAAGGGGCGGGAGCGCCCCGGGCACGCGTGGGTGGGAGCGTCTCCCGTGGGCGCCCCCGGGGCGCGCTCCGCCGAGCTGCTGCGGCCGCGCCCCGCAGGCGCTGCTGCCCGGGACGGGGCGGGCGGCCCCGCGGGAAGAGGCGCCCGCTGAGGCGGCCAGCGGCGACGGCGCCGGCTGTTCTAAGGCGTGTCCGCACCCTGCTGCAGCCGGGGAGCGGGGCGCGGCGGTGGGAGAACGGTAGCGCTCGGGGCAGATCCGAGCTATGGGTGCCGCTTGAGCTGGGGCTGCAGCTGCCCTGGGGCGCGAAGGCGAGCCAGGGTGCCTGTGCCGTCTTCACCCGACCGACGGTCCAGCGGCGGGGCGGGCGAAGAGGGCAGAGCCGCCCGGTGCCACTGAGCGGAGTGCAATGATAGTTTTCCAAGCCTCGGCGTGGGCGGATGCGGTGGTCCAGCCTGGTACCTCGGGGGGAAGGCTGAGACGACGGGGAAGCGTCCTCGGTCCTTTAAGATGCAAAGCGAAGGGCGATCTCCCCACCACACGTCTCACTTTGTGAATAGACAGCCCCCGAGCCCCGCCGTCCCATCGGCCCGGCCCGCAGCCCCCGGCGGGAGCCCCGTCGGGCCGGGCCGCCGCCGAACAGGCGCTGGTGGAGGGGCCCGCAGCGGGCCGGGCTCCCGCTGTCCCTGCTGCTCCCGGGCAGGCAGGGGCGTCCTGGCTCGTAGGGACGCGATGGAGGAGCCTTGCGCGACGCCGCGGCTGCCCCCGCGTGTCCCTGCAGCCCCGGGGCGCTCCCGGGGACGTCCCGCAACATTCCGACTTGGGGACCCTGGAGGAGCCGCCATCCTGGCTCCAGCCTCGGGGAGGCAGAGGGCCCGGCGGCCAGACGGGAAGAGCACGACAACTGTTCCCAATCCCTTCATGACGTCTCTGAAGGCAACCAAACCTCCCTTTTCCACCCAGCCGGGTCTTCGCGGGAGTTTCCCTGCCGCAGCTGCCTCTCTGACACAGGAGGGATTTCAGACCCTGGCTTCGGAGCGGGGCAGGCAGGACCACACCAGGTGAGAATGTGGCTCTGCCGAGGGGGCTGGTCAAGCAGGGCCCCCACGCCGCTCGCAGCCAGGCCCTGTGTTCAGCCCGGGGCATCTTTCTGCTTTTTTTAGGCACCCACATGGTTATAAGTGCCTAACATGAGACCTCACAGAAATGGCTCAGTGCTTCAAAACACTGCTGTGGTAGGAAAGCAGAAGAAAACCAGTCCAGGTATCTCTTAATGTGAAATGTCTGTTCCAGTTGCTGCATCGCACTGGCTTGCATGTAGACAATAATTCCAGCTTTCCACGGCCAGAGGCTGCTGCAAGCCCTTCCCTGCCTTGCTCACTCATGCCCCAGTCCACAGTGTTTTGTTGGTTCCAGATGTAATTCAGACACAATCAACTGTATCACTGCTTTGTACATTTTTATTTATCATTTTATTAACACATGACAAAACAACTTTGGAATAGATTTCAAAATTTTAACAATTTATAGCAAATTTTACATTGCAGTATGTTTTAATCCAGTGCACAGCCTTGTAACTAGTTACAGATCAGGAAGCAATGGTTATCTGTCTCTGGGGAAAAGGCCAAATGTGCATGGGGAATGGACAAAACCCAGCCCCTGTGGCTGACTGCTGCCGCCAATTGTCACATTTAGGAGAGCTGAGGATCAGGCCTTTATGCTGGCATCATGAAATTTGCTTTCTCTTGCTTTGCAGCTGGGAACACGCAATTATGAATCCTGAAAGGAAGTGCTGCAATTATCTGTGTGGTTTCTGTGAAATAAGGTCTTTTGAATACGGAATCAGAGGGAAATTTGAACACTGTGGCTATTGCCTTTATTTTCATTTAATTTCTAGTGGAACTGATTAAGAATGATCATTACATTTCAGCAGCAATCAACCAGAGAGTGTATTTCTATTCCTTTCTTGTTACCCCAGAGATTAAGATTCCTAAAAATCTAATGCAAATGAGAACAAAGCAAACATGATTTAGAAGTTCATCACTTAGTCACAAAGCTCAGAGGCAGAGGAGAGGGCTGGACATACTTCCCATAAATGGACATTTCCAACATAAAGATTATACACACAATATTGAACTTTAAAACTGGCTACTAGCTTTACAGTAAAGTCAATAATGAAATAAATTTCCCTAGTATGCTATTCAATTAATTGTTTACATTTTCATTAAAGGGACACTTGCCACAAACAGGTCATCCCAAAATTTGAGCAATGTAAACTAAAATAAGCAGAAATTCCCGCATGGTGCTCTTGTAATTTTTTCCCCTGTAGAACAATTTATTAAAAACAATAACTAAGGTTTTCTGAAGGTGAATAGAAATTAGAAAGCTTAACTAGGGAACTATAAAGTAAATTATTATTTTGATTGGATGAGACTGATGAAGAGGAAAAAAAGAAATATGCACTGAGGAAAGTAAACTAGACTTAAGCTGTTTAATAATTTTAGGATGTAGCAATGGAACACAAAAGAAAGCTGATTTTTATATTAGGTAAGAATAAGATATGTGACTGACAGTGTCCCTTTGCAATGGTCTTGGGATGTAAACCATAGTAATTAATATTCATATGAACACACAACTTGAAACACTGGAGATTAAAAAAAAAAAAAAGGAAACGCATGGTATAAAATGATAAAAAAAATTATGCTAATAAAAGCCAAATGGCAGCAGGAGCAGCAGCAGCAGCTAGAACTGCTGGATAAGGCGCCGGCGCTGTGAGGTCTTCCGCAGCAGTCGTCTGTAGTCATAGGGATTATCTTCGGCTTTGCTCTCTTCCAGGGGTCTTTCTGCAACCCTCGACCTAGGGATTAAGCACAGAAGTGTTTTAGAAATTAAAGTCAAAACATTTACCTTGGCAAAGACTCCTAATCGACTGCTTAACCTCCACCCTTGTGGGGGAAAAATAAAAGGAGAAAGAAAAAAAATCAGCTGACTTTGCTAGGCCTCTTCCTGTGCTGCACAAAACAAGCACCTCGGAACAAACACATTACATGCTAGAAGCAGATGAACACAGAAGAACAACATGTTCTCCTATGAAGGGGACATAATGAAAGGACATAAAAACATGAAGAGCATGGGGATGCTTTGCAGCAGCATTTGCCTGATGGTTACTGCACCAGATTTTCAGTTGGCATAAATTTGTTTGCTCTGTATTTAACCTGCCTGTGGAGTTCACTGTAAGCGTCCATCTAATTTCATTTTATTTTCAGATGGCAAGATGCATTTTGAATGCCACCTCTGACAAGCTGGAATAGTGATGTGGAATCAGCTGTTACCATGGAGCAAGATTAAAAAGAAAAGACCGTTATTTAAACAGTAAATTACTCTGAAATAAATACAAAATTTGTAGTGTTCTACAAACTTAAGATGCCCCCACCACTGGTCCTTATCCAATGTCAAAGGTAAACTGCTAAATAAAAAGTACTAAATGCTTCACTTCTTGAAGTAGTTTGAGATGTCTGTACAGTCACTGGTTTTACAGTCCTGGTGACCCTATTCAAGAGATCCTGAAGTGCAGAAATGTTTATTAATTGCATTCATCTGCCCTCTGAGGTACCTCTAAATTCAGAAGTTACACATCTTTTGTTTCACTATGTCAATTAGAACAGCAAACAGTAAAGGGTAAAAAATTGTCTCAGTAGCAAAACTCACTCACCTAAACCAGACCTCAGGGTGACAGATTTGATTTGGTGTAATTAACCACCTTAGAAATGCAACATTTTCTCATGGTTGTAAACTATATGGTAATTCCCTGATATTATTACTTTTAATTACATGTCTTCACTTTCCTGAAACTAATTTAGATCATATGTGAAAAAAAGGCCAGAAATGAAATATGTAAGGTGCACAAAATATTATACATTCAGAATGTTCTACAAGCATTTCCTCTATTACAACAGATGCATTTTCAAATTCAGTATTCATCCCAGGCTTAGCATTTCCCTTAAGACTTGGACCTAGATAGTTTTCCAAGCTTTTCTTACATTTAGGAACATGCAAGAAGATACAATTATATTAAGATACATAGATGTGTGTTTGTATGTGCAGTGTGTGTGAGTGCACTGGCAAGAGTGAGAATATGAATTTCCTTAGCCTGGCAGTGGTCACCCTCTATTGAAGTCTATGTGGGAAGAAAGGAGGTTGAGCAAACCCTCCCTTTGGGGTTTTTCTCCTGGCTGTCCACCTTGGCGAGGTGCATGCAGGCTACAGACAACTGTGCTGCTACAGGACAGCAGGAGAAGCAGGCAGTCAAGCTGGAGTCCTACCTGCAGAAAACATGCAGAAAGTCTGGTGCACATCCACCCTGTTTAAAATCTAACAAATCAGAAATACAGTTTTTAGGTTCTGCCTCAGTTTAATTTTATTTTAGATCAGAGATGCAGAATGTCTGTTCATCTGGCCCTTGGGAAACCAAAAACTGGCAGGTAGGCTGAACAGCAATCACACTGGAATTTATCCCTCTTGCATGGGGAATATGTCAGATATTCCCATTCTGAGATGAAAAATTTTAGCTAAATGTTTTGCAAGGTAGTTTGGTAAAATTTAATCTCTAAAGTAATAGATTTATGTGTAATTTGAAAGTGTGTTTCTTTTCATTAATATTTTGAATATGTCAACAAGGATAATATTTATTTTTTCCTATTACTATTTTGTATTAATTACCGCTCAGTAGCTCGTAAAATGGAAGTCCTGCGCTCAATTGGGTATCTCTTCCTTCTTGTGGTAGTGCTGCTGTCCTTGGAGCTGGAGTCAGTAGATGAAATTTCTTGGTAGTAGATATCTAAATCTAGCACTTTGCTCAGACTGTCAATAAATAAGAACACTAAGTTAACAGTTGCACTTTTCACTATTATTTTCAGCATACAAATACAAGGCAGCCAAATATCATTATTCCGTTTATGTGTTGAGGATCTAAGGAAAAATATATATAGGCACAAAAAAATCAGTCTCTGAAGTGTGACTGCTGTACAACATAGATATTGAGAATTTTGAAATGCTAAGTAATTTTATATATTCATAAAGGAGACATGACTGAAATTTTTGGGGTTTGCCATTAGACTCAGTGGAGAGGCGTTTTTATGGTATAATTAATCTGATATATTTTAGATATTTCTTTGAGCAAGAGATGAATAATTTTCCTAAATATGACTACTTTTTTCTCTGAGTAAATTTGGCAGCAACTAGTTCGGATATGGGTGTCAATAATGCAGATATCTCTTATTTTGTTAGGTGAATGCTATCCAAGGTATTATACATACAGAAAAAAAAATCAATCCCAACATCCTTTTTAGAATGGCTAAGGAAAGAAATAATATCCTAAAAAGAAACTGAATAGAGAAGTTCAGAATTCAATCCTCATGTTGTTAGAAACCAGAAGTAATTAATTGATTTCACTTGCTATGTTCCACTAATACAGAGTTGGCACATGAGAGAACATGCAGTCGGAGAACTGGTTAACTAGATTTAAGATGAGTGAAACCTAATTGAGACCAATGAGAGAAAACACTAGGTTTTGGTGTGTTAGTTTTTCTTTTTCCCCCTAGACTGGAGTCAATAGGTGTGAAATTTTTTTAGGATCCAAATGACATGAGAAAAAAAGATGAAAGAGACCAAACTCCAGAGACACGGACATAGGGTCAATCCTTTAAGCTGCAGCATAATCAAGTGCAATTTAAACTGTGGTTAAATGAAGCTCAGTGCTGTGAGCATATTTTAAATAAATGTAATGTCACGCAACATCCTCTAAGATACATATTTGAGCCATGGAATTTGTATTCTGCAAGTTTGTATTGAGCCGAGGACAGTGCAGAGAGCCCATTCATCTGGCAGCTATGAGCAGGCTGCCATCGCACACATGGTGCCACAGCAGTGCCACTGAGGGGGCAGCAGGAAAGCCTCAGTATTGAAACACAAATAAAATAAAGCTATGGTGTATGTCAGGAGCTGCCAACCAGGTCTGCAGCACACATAAGGATCTAAGATACAGAAGGACAGAATAAACCTATTGCTTCCTTCTTTTCTGCAGAGATCCATCAAAATAGGTTAGTTACACTGGGAATAAACCACTTCTGATTCAAATTTCAAGGGATACTCTTCTTTACCTGTTATTCATAGTTTTTGTTTTAATTTTTTATTATCTATTTCCAGACATTCATATACTTTTAGGAGAAAATTTAGACAGTCTTTGTATTTTTGCTGACAAAAAAGGACTGGTTACTCATTTGCTTTGACTAGAATTTTAAGCACCTTCGATTATTTTCTGTGTCAGAACTATCTTTGATGTGGACCTTATCTCATTATAATGCCTGTGTTACCATGGTAAAGGACCATGTTTTAGGAAAACTGAATGACTGAATTCTATAATGGATTTTAGTCAATGAAAATTGCATTTTAACTTTAACATGTATACATGTCCCCCTGTGAATCACCAAATTACCATTCTTTTTTCAATGCTTTATTCTCCTAGTTGAAGTACAGCTAGAAACTATTCTAGAGCACTGGAGTGACAATAGTGAGATAATGAAAAAACATTACCTTTCTTTCCTTGGTTTCCGTTTTTCATCTTGTATTGATTTCTAAGAAAGAAAAAGCAATTAAAAATACTAAAAGGAAAGCTTATGCAAATTTACAATTCATCAGTGTTAGGTAGGAGAGTGCTGTACATATTTCAGTAAAAGAAATTATAGAAAATGAGCAAATGACCCAAAAAACCCTCTTTTAAGAACCTTAGAGCCTGCGAATGTTGTTCCCAAATTTGTTGCCATACTGTGAAAAAAAAGCCAAAGTAATGATGATCAGAACAGAAAAAGTAGATCTAAAACTTTCAAATAGCTATGGCTGTTTTAGTGAAGTTGACAACACTATCTCACTGAGGCATATTTACTGTGATGCCAGAAGAATTTCCATTAATAGAAGCAATACAGTGGGAAGAGTCCTATTCTCATTAATGCCAACGTAGTCTTCACACAGGTTTAGTAGAATAAAATGGACAAAGGCCCCATTTAAAAACAATATAATAAGTGACAAAAGAACCTTTAGGATACAAGATTTCTAAAAATGCAGAGGAGAGAAGATTTATAAAGAATATGAATAATTTCTTATCTCTAATAGAGTTCTATCCCTACAGCCAAAACAAAGCTATGTTGCAGCACCTAACACATCATACTTCAAAGGCAGTATTTTTTACTGCAGATTGTGGTCTTAATTGTGTTTCTTGCAAGTGAGTGAAAGTGTATTAGAACTAGGGACTGTAAAGTCACTGAGAATCAAAAATCCTAATGGACTTCAGTATGCAGGCAAATGAACATGACATATAATTCCAAAATGATATAATGATTTAAAGAAATATCCCATAAAATAAAATTCTTATGCCTTATATAAATAATGGGCTACTGTCAGGCTTAATTTATACTTGCATACCCCTGCAGGTCATCTGATAGGCAATGAGATGTGTGAGAATGTAAGGTGTCTAATTAATGTCTGTAGCATGATGTGAGAGAAATATCTGATTTTGCAAAAGACAGAGAATTTTTTTTAAAAATGCACTAATATATATATATATATATATATATATATATATATATATATATATATTTAATGAACTCAAGAAAAGCATTTCTTCACTTTCATATAATGTGGGATTGATAATAATCTGTGAATGCCTGAAGGTACCAGAGATTTTTAATAAGGTAGAAAATCTGTAACAGCTGGGAAAACTGACTGCCCTCTAAAGCTGACTACCCTCTAAAGTTAGAGCTAAATGACTTACCTAAGATCTAAGAATTTAGCAACTAGTAGGTCTCCTTTCTAAGCTTCAGTGTATAGATATTTATGTTGAACCTTTCCCTGAACAGTGAACTATACGCCAGGAAGACAAGTTTCTCTTTTTCACACCTTCTTGAAAATACAACTCATTGAAGGTAATATTGATTAATACCTTGAAAAGCTGTTGCTAAAAAATTGAATAAAAATCTCCTGGCACTACTGCAGTTTTTGTTTGCACTGATGCCGTGGCTGTTTTCTTGTACGGATCTAGCTATGTAACAAATTAGCTCTCAGAAAATACTATATTCCTGACCTTATAGTTTTTAGTTTCCTAAATAGGCATTTACTTCAGAATTGTGCTTCTCAGAAATTTCCAAATACAGATTCTGTGTCAGGCCTTTCATTTCAGTCCACAAAACAAATTTTATTGTTACATGCAAAATTTTTTTTAAAGAATGTAATTTCTTTTCAGAATATCACTGTTCCAAAGCTGTGCTATTTCAAAGTCCCAGAATAAAACATAGCTGTATTTGTCTTTTTTTGGTATGCCAGACACAACCGTCCCTACAGGCCCTGGTGACACCTTCTGTTGAAAGGAGAAGCAATTGCTACGGTTAGTTTATTAGCTGGGTTCTCACCGGCTGTTAAAATAGGTCACTAAGATACAGGCACCTCGAGCAAATCAGTTTAATTGCTTTCTTTGTTGGAAGTGCTTTCTGAGCTGCTTTTACATTTTCACTCTTTCTGCTTACTTTCTTGCCTTTTTTCCTATGTTTAAGGGCACTGAAGTCAAGAGGGGAAAGCAGCACTTGGTATCTGAACTTGGACCAAAGGCTATATATAGTGACACTCAAATCCATTAGTCTCCTGAGCTGTTGGTATTTGCCAGCGCCTTCATAATCACAATCTGACACATTTGTAAAGGAAGTTACAGTGTGCATACTAATACAATTTATTTTAGTATTTGCTCTCTCTGTAAGATCAAGTACTAATTTAGATCCTCAAAATAGCTCCAAACAAACCTGTGCCTCTCCTGGTTCTCTCCTGTGACTTACAAAAAAACTATGGACACAGGGCATTTGATTTGTGTATTGAAAATGCAAATGCTACTTATTCCCATAATGAAAGTGTGTTTAGGTTCAAAAATAAATACTAGTCTGGCATAGCTCCCCAGACTGGGTAACTCTGTGCTTCCATTTCAAGTCTCATTTGAAATTTGAGTTTTGTGGCCTGCCTCCTTTCAGCACAACACAGGTTTTATGCTGCATATGAAAATAATAATGGGAATTGGGCAATTAGAAAGATAGTTTAGGTGGGAATTATCTGACAGTTTTAGCCCAGGGAAGCTTCTTAAACTCACATGTATTAGAGTGTAGTAGGTGGAGTCTTCTGGATTATTTAATGTCTTGGGCTTCCGTGGCCTTCTGGGGGGTCTCTGCATTGGGCGAGACTCTTCTACTTTGGCCACAACTGTAAAAAAGCAGAAGACAGCAATGCTTATTTCTTCCAAAAACTGGAGGCCTTTGGAAAAACAGGAGAAAATTTCACCAAATGGAGAAAAAAATACACACAGCCATTTTTACTGCTTGCAGTAATTCAAGTAAGCAACTAGTTTGGACATTTTCATCAGCAGAGAATGGGTTTATCCATTTGAGTCCTGACTGCCCACAGGGACAAACACCACATAATGAATACCAGGCTGGAGCAGCCCAGAGGTTTGCCTAGCACAGGCCTCTCCTTCTGAAAAGGGCTGATGCTCCACATTCAGAAAAGGGCTATGGAGGGTAATGGCTACTGTGAGGCCATTGCCTTGTAATGGGGACCTGTGTGGCAGAGGTGATGTTTTTTTCAGACTCAAGTAAATCTTTAAGGTGCTGAATGAGGGAACTAGCATTAGGCCTCTGTTTCAGAGGTTGTCCTCTACTTTATCACAGTGAAGATTTTCCTCCAGGTCTCCTGCTAAGGCTTTTCATTTCAAGCCAAATCATATGCTACTGGGCAACACCGCATGACCGTGTCCATCACATCCAATGTAGTCTATGTTAGTGTACTCAAATTCTGGTCTCTATTTTTGCAAAAAAACTTTCTGCAAACGTGAAAAATGACTTCACTCTAATAGAAATGAAATCAAGATTTTAACACAAAATGGAACTATTGTCCCCTGACAGTCTCCCAATTCAGAGTGAGATACTGACTTGCAGATTACATTGGCTGGCACACAGATAACTAGAAAAATATCTTGAGTATTTGCTTGTGGAAATCTATATGCAGTTCTGACAGTGCTAAGATACAGGGCTGCTTGTGTTCCTAGGTCGTTTGGCACAGAGACAACAGAGTGCAGGCTCCTAATGCCTAGGAAGACCACAGAAATGGCCCTGGAGGGACAAGAGACCACAAATATGGTCACCTGGTGAGCTTGGTCTCCTTCCCTTCAGCTACAACTACCAGAAATGTTAATGGCAACATCAATTCCTTCATGATGAAGGAGAAGGGCTGCCCAGAGCAGAACACCAATGGCAGAGATGGGTCATGGAGACACATGTGGGGTGGTGAATGAAGTCCCAGCACAGTGAACCCGTTGTCTAAGGTATCTTGCATTATCCAGTGAGGTTTGATCTTGGCCCTTGTCCCATTACAGATATACTAAGGACAGTCCATGAGAAAAAACATCTCCTTATTTATAAATGGATATAGTGTGAGGGTGGAATGGGGATCTAGATCTCAGTGAATTACTAAAGTGTGTTTTGCTGATATGATGAACTTCCACATGAAGTTAAGTAAACTTTAACAACATTTTGTTTCCCTATGACCATCAGAAAACCTTTTACATAATAGAAATAAAAACTCTCCCATGTACAGCAGACATCTTTTTAATTAAGGGTAAGGTAGCACAATAATTTTAAATGAGAAATGACCAGTAATACATCAGTGTTGACTCCTGCAAAATTAGCTGCTTAAATTCTTTGTTATGTGTGATAAATAAAGGCTTGTAAAGGTCATGAGTATACAGAGAAGCCAGAATGAATAATGTTAATTTAATTGTAGTTGGATAATGATTACATTTATTGTTTTAGTTTCTTATCTGAAATGCAGACTGCTTCTTCTGTAATGAATGAGCAAGTATCTTTTTCGCATTTTGCACCTAAGAGAACAATGGTGTTTTTCTAAGCTAGTTTACAGATAATACATGTTAAATAATGAATTTTATATGCAATAAATTAATTTCAGTAACCTGTATTAAATATAAGTAAGATTTCTTGATATCAATAGGTACAGCAGGCTTGACTGGGCTCTTAATATGGGCTGTTGCTACCTTGCTGCATTTCAAATGGGCCACCTGGAGTTATCTGTCTTTCCATTTGTTTGAGAGAAGAGGCATATCTTCCCTATTTATTTTTAAACACAAGAGGAGTTAAAAGTGGAAACTCTACCTTAAAAAATCCCTTAAAATTCAGTGCTGTTGAAAAGAAACACCTAATGCCCTGTCTGTAGGACATTCAAAAATTTTGTCAGAGATCATGACTACATGAAAATCTGAAAAAACAAATTAAGCCAATTTGGGGGCACTAGGAAAATTCCCATGAAAAGGCTCTCATTATGCCTAAAGATTTTTTACTGTCTCCTAAGAATTCATCACTGTGTATACTGCTACATTATTTAATTCATCAATGTCAAACAGATAAAGCATTATTGTATTATTGATTACAATTATTCCAACTGAAAGTACTTGTATACTTATTGTATGTGTGCTCTGCAAAGATTACTTTATACATTCAAAAATACCATTTTGACAATGATAAAGGTTTCAGTAAAATAAATGCTTTTCATCTCAGCTCTTGTGTTGTACATATGTGTAAGCTGTGCAAAAGAATTGGGGCATGTAGCTTTCTAAGTTTGGACCTCCATCATTCCTTTTTAAAATTGAATATAGGAATGAAAATGCATTTCAGAGTTTTGCCTCCAAATTACACAGTAAGGTTTTGCTTTTTTTGTTTCACCAGAAAGTGAAGCTGTGATTTCCTTTTGCACTTAGATTTGCATGTTCACTGCTACTGAAATTCATCAGATGTGGTAGCTACTTGTATTGGATAATACAAAGTAAAATCTGCTTTTTTATTAGTTTCTGATAAATACAGAAATAATTTACTTAGTAAAATTAAATACCCAAGTGTGATAAATAGTGAGTTTGACTGGGCTTGTTTTCCAGCTAGCCTATACCTTTCTGTAGCAGGCAATGAAGCAGAAAGAAGGAGTGAAATAATTCACCTATTAAGAGGGCAATTATGTTACTTCTGTATTCCATTACAAAGAAAAGGTTTTTATTGAAGTCTCTTAGTCTTTTATTGAAGTCTCTTAGTATTGAAGTCTCTTAGTAAAGTCTCTTGTAGCTTATTTTTCATTAAGACTTAAAGTATCTTTAGCAAGATCTGGCCAAGTGCTTTCTATGTAAAAGGAAAACCAGTGTTTCTCCTCTAACAGTCATTTAAATTGATATTTTACAGCACTGGTACAAAAACCATTCACACAGAAGCTGTTGAAGTGCTTTGGAAGTGCCAGGTTGGCACTACCATCCCTATCCTACTAGAAGGGTAAAAAAGATGCACAAAGATACATGGAGATTTGCTTAAGGCTACATCCTAGTTAGTCATTAGCAGAGCTAAGGACTGGAGAGCTGTGCTGAGGCTCCATCTCTGCTGCCAGCCACACCTTGCTGTTGTATCTACCTGAAGAGGTGCTGTCAGTGCTGGGACACGCCTCAGGAGCAATGTGTAGGAGAAACTGGAAACTTTGATGTGACACACAGTCCCTAAAGGGTTTATCAGGAGGAAGACAGATTGAATAACAGGTTGAAATGGGGAGATTTTCCTCCCCAGACTTCCCAAGTGTATTGAGTCAGTACTTGGTTAGTCAAAAAAAAAAAAAAAAAAAAAAAAAAAAAAAAAAAAGAGGTTAAACCAGTGATGAAGTTGAAGTTCTTCTCCATGAGAATAAAGAAAATACAGAGTTAAGGGTCAGGAAAGGCATATGAACAGTGTGGCTGCCAGATAACACTCAAGAAGATTTAGTAAATCTTAGAAAAATTCTTTATTCATATCAGTATCTCAGCTAGATCATTTAGCACTACCACAAAGGTTCCTATCTAAGTTGTACGCACACTCAATTCTACAACAAATAATTACTTTCATACTCAGCCCTCACTGAAAGCTCCAAATATGCTGAAATATGTATACAATATGCATGTGTATCCTGAACACCACCACAAACTACATGAACTGAGGAGAGCTGCATGTGCTTGAAACATTCAAGGATGAGCAAAAAATATTTGAATAAAGATGAGTCAGTATCAACAGCCCTTTAGGTTGAACTGCCTGTACCCTCTGACATACAGTGATAAGGCTGGAAGACAGCAATCCTGAAGAATCAACATCTGTGGAGGCTAATGTAAATTAACTATGACTTACAACAGATTTCATACTGAAGACTGGAGAAATAGTGGTTACAGCTGTGATAAATATCTAAGGGACCAAAGATCTCTATTTATTAAGCCACCTGGAGAAACAGACAAAGACATCTTCACATCATTTAAGTGAAATGTTACATGTTTGATTTAGAGCTGTTCCACATCTTAGGGAGACAGAAATATAAAGCCAGGATCAGAATTAAGCAGGAAGAAAAACAAAAGGAAAAACAGTAATTGTATTGGTTTTGTAGAGGGAGTTGAAAGTAATCAGTAAAAATGGAAATACAGCAACTGGAATTCCAGGACTTGATAATGAGAAGTTAATAGTTATTACTGCTTACAACACCTATGTGCATTCCTTTTTACTGTTCTAATTGTACACAGCATGAGGATGCAACTACTCAAGTTTAGAATTTGCACTGAGAAAAGCACTGCTCTGCAACATTCTGGTTAGGAACTTTTAGGTATTTTTAATTCATGGGATGTTTAACATAGTCAGATTTGGAAATTACAGCTGATGGCTGCAAATTCTTAGTAATCTGGAAAAAAACAAGACGGATTACTCTGGCACAGACCTAGAAGTAGAAACTGCAAGAGACTGAGAACTTTCAGATTGTGTACAGCAGAGGTTGTCAGTGTTTAATCTCTCACTCCTAAGTCCCACAGCCCCACTGAGGGAAGCAGTTTCAGTCTCTGGCTGACACTAATACAGAACGACAGAATTATAAACATTGGAAAAGACCTCTAAGGTCATCAAGTCCAGCCTTGACCAGGTAGATCATGGCATGAAGTACCATTCTTTAGCTGTTTCTTAAGTACCTCCAAGGATGGTGACTCCACCACTTCCCTGGGAAATCCATTCCAATGCTTAACAACCCTTTTGGTGAAGAAACTCCTCCTATGTCCAGCTGCACCTCCCCTGGTCCAGCTGGAGGCCATGTCCTCTCGTCCTGTCTCCAGCTGGCTGGGAGAACAACCCAAACCTCACCTGGCTGCACCCTCCTTTCAGGCAGCTGTAGAGAGCGATAAGGTCACCTCTGAGCCTCCTCCAGGCTAAACTCCCCCAGTTCCTTCAGATGGTCCTCATTGGAGCTGTGCTCCAGACCCTTCACCAGCTTTGTTGCCCTTCTCTGGACTTGCTCCAGCACCTCTCATTTCTTCAAGTCTGGTGATCTGGGATTACTGCTTTTTAAGAGAGGATATTTAATGGAAATGGCTGTGTTCCACTTCCACAACCTCCCAGATTGTGTGCTCTGCCACGGATCTGAGCAACTCCCAGCACAGATCTTCTACATCCTGGCTGTGTGCCCAAAGGACCCCTCCTGTAGCTGAGAGCCACCAGCCAGCAGTGCTTGCCTACCGTTTTTCTCGAGTCCCATGCCTCAGTGCTCCCTGGCTGACTACTCACTTGCAAAGAAGGAAGTCTGGCTGGTGAATACTGCTCTGCTCAGCCAGCGCTACACAGGCTCCCTTTTCCTTGCAAAGCCTGCCCATTACATTCCCATAAATAGTGCTTTGACAGCCTACAGGAGAAGGAATCCTGGATGAAAACCCTGCTTGTCTCATTGCCTCATTTAGTTGAAAATGTCCTTAGCTGCATTGGGGTTCCTCGTACCATGTAAATTTCATTCTAAATATAGAAAATTCTCTTCCTGATATTTTTTACTTGGACTGTCATTTAGTAAGTAGAGGGATGAGCACTATGATTCATCTGGAAAAAAATGAAAGAAATTTCCTCCCATAATGATTAAATTCCCCTCACTTCAGGCTTTGATCTCAAAAAACTGACAGAAGCCATTTGTGCATCTGTTCTGACACAACAGCAACCCAAGGCTCACTAGCAGTCCAAGGGTGCAGTTCTGGGGTGCAGCCATTACATTTGCTGAAAGCATGTAAGAAGCAAATATAACCTTACTCAGAGATTCTAGCCACGGGGAATTTTGTTTTTTTCCAGGAACCTTGTGTGGCTTGGTTCATGCATTTTATAAAAATGAAGAAACTCATTTAAGAACAACTTAGCCTTGTGGATTTAAGATTAAATTAACCTTTTGCTCAGATATTCTTTGAACTGCAAGCTTTGCATTTTTATTAAAAACTAACAAGCAAACCATTTAAAAAATATGAACATTTGTCACAGTATGCCATCAGCTGTCCCCTCAGTTCCTCCCCTTCTATGGGTAGCAGATGTAATAAAATATTTTATCAGAGAAAGTGGTAAATTGTGCTACTGCACAATGGCCACCTAACCACAGACAAAGGCAGCCAAGCTCTCCTATCTAGCTATAAAATACAATTAATGTGCAATTCATTCTCTAAAACAACATATATAACTAGTGAAGTTGATGAAAAAGTGTAGATAAATGTAAATGATCAATGTAATTACAAATAGGTAAATACTACATGATTTAAAGAACACCTAAAGCTCAACAATCCCTTCCTTCATAAGAGTAGGAAAGGAAAAGCAGCCATAGGACAGGGCAAGATGCAGTAAAAGCATATCCGTCTGTAAATGAGTGTGTATAAATCCCACTGTAACACATAATGTAGGCAGGTAGACAGGAAGTTTCCTCCCTGTTAATAAGGCAGTGGATCATCTCATCTACCTGCTTCACTTTAGCATGACCATCTGCAGGACCTTACCTCAAATCTTTGGGGGTTTTGTAGATATTTTACTATATTGCGTAGAGGAAGAAAATACGATATCCAGAATGTTGGTAATTCTTGTTTTAGATAGTGCAACTTAAATGAACTGAACAGAGGGATATCGTTACCCAAATATTCTCTGCATCTAGTTAGATCATGTTTGATATGATAAACATCTACTTAAGACAATGCAGCTTTGTGATAAAAGCCAGTTTCCAACTGGTTTAAAGGCAAACTGTGGAATTACTGCAGTATATTGTCTTCACTATCTTGTGCATTGGTCATACCTGGAAAAGAAACAGCTTTCCTGTCATGGGAATGATGTTCAACTGTAGAAAAAGAAAGTTCACATTCCACACCAAGAAAGGTTTTCCAGCGGACAGGTTAGCACACTTTACCACTGGAAAGCTTCTGTGCTGTGACACTGCAGGGTTTTACAGCAGTCACACTTTCAGAGACAAAGGGAAGTGAAGTGGCTGACTGGTGACCCCTTTAGGCAGGGCTGGATGCAGAGGTGACAAACCCTGGCAAGCTTTTTTCTCCTGTATAGCTGCTTAAATTAATAGCAGTGTGAAGGGTAGACTTCACTGCATTTTGCACATGGCAGGAACATACTGGTACATTTTCACCTGGTCCATTCGTGCAAGTGATGAGATCTTTAACCGATCAAACAAGGATTTGTATATTCCCTTTCCCTCTATCTACCTCTTTTCTCTAGCTTCTGTTGGAAAATATGTTAGAACCAAGAGGTGTTTTCCAAAGCATACATTTTTAACTTCTCAGGTTTATCTTGTAAAAAAAGCAGCAGTATTTAGTAGAGAACTTAATATAAGGCCATTAATGACAATCACAAACCTTGCTGTGTCTTTAATGAAAGGTCATAGCACTTAGTTTTCCATTTCCCATTTATTTTCTCTTGCAGACTTTGGTCTTGGAAACAGACTGAACTACACAGATTACCTATCAGCAGCTGGTTTGCACTTAGAGGTGCAAACACCAAGCCCTCATTTTAGCAGCTTACCCATTTAAGAGGACTCCTAAATGGGATTGAAGTAATTTTAAGATCTTTTCAATGTAGTCATGGGAACAGAAAGAAGTTTCATCACACATGACAACTGAATCCACAATATTATAATGAAAATAGCACAACTAGCCCTGAGCAGTGAGAGGCAGTCCTAGATCTTATCCCAGCCCTTCCCCAGAGGCAGTGCAGTGAGCTCACACAAGCTCTGCCACACAAATGGAGACACAGCCAGTTATCTGCGATACCTGCCCTCATCCTCCACATCTGCAGCCCAGGACATGAACTGAGAAAATTCCCTATTACATCTATTCCAACAGAAGAGGTCTGAGCAGCTCCATCAGTTCTTTGGGGTCCTTTTGCTCGAGTTCAGGTCTTAATGATCTGCATGCTCAGAATCCCCTGTCCTTTTTATTCTCCCAGTACTCTTTGCCACTGCCACCCAAACTGCTCCAAGCATGTTTGCATTTTGGGAACCTTCACTACCCATGCTAACCAGAATATAAATAACTCTGGAGGGTGTTTCTAAAGATCATACCCTCTTCAATGTGTGAGTTAAATGGATGCTGAATATTAATAAAACTTTACATGCAATTACAATACATGCAATACGTGCAACATACCCACCAACATGGGTAGGAGTTACAAGTTTTGAATAACCTCAATTTTATCTGTGGATAGCTAAAAATTCACTCAGCATATATGTCATAAACTTTAGCAAATTGTTTGACATATTACTTAAAAAACTGTTGTGTTTTGAAAGCATAGTCCCACATCATACCAATAGCACACACAGTTGAGAGACAACTGAGTTAACAAGAGCCAATATGGAATTTTACCAAATAAAAGTATTCCTAGAGATTGTGTGTCTAGATTCATTCAGCAATCCTAAGCAGCACTGAACAAAAGACCAAAAAAATTGGTAAATGCACAAATCCCAACCAGGTTTGGGTATTTCTCTGGAAACTATGTTCCAGACATGTGCTGATATGAGGCTTAGTACAAAAACATACAGCCAGAGAAGCTGGAATTAACTCAAATACTCCCTGACATGACCAGGAGTAGCTTCTTCTCAGTCCTGTTTACAAATGAAAATTCTGCCAACAGTAAGGTTAAACATTACCTGACTGACAAACATGAGAAGAAAGCCGGCCATTAGCTTGCTTATCTTTGGACATCATCACAGGTCTCAGCTGATGGGACAATATCATTTCATTCAGTTTTTGCTGCAATGCTAAGTAATCTTCAGATAATTTTGATATCTGAAAAATATGTTTTTACATTATTATAGAAATAAGTATACATGTTCCAAGGTAATCAAACGTAAAATAGTGGACAAGAAAGTTAATTTAAAAGGTATTGCCCCACCAACTGCAGTGCACACATTTACCTCCTCATTTCTTGAAAAAAATGAAGATGGGGAAAAAAAAGACACATAGGAAACTCAACACTGACACATAGGAAATTCAACACTGTAGTCCAGTCCTACAGCTACTTCTCATTGGTTCACACACATGGGCAGATGGTGCCTTGCTGATGCAAGATTGCTTCTACAGCTGTAGGCATACTTCTCTGCACATGTGCAAGTCTCTGACATTGGCACAGCAACTTTAGTTTCATTTACAGGGACATTTCACAAGTGTACTGAATTATGGACCTTGATGGGTAAACAAACATTTGAAAGACAAAGCTTCTGCATTTAATTTAAATGAGATTAACATTATTTTTGCCAGTACTCTTTGACTTTTCCTCCTTCCTGAAAAGGCTGTTTTCTCTTGCAAATCAAAATATGCATTTTCATAGAACATACATTACAAAGTCTCTGTCTTAGATGAGAGAGCAAAATCTTTGTGCCATAGACGTCAGTAAAATAACTTTGCCATTCTGTCACTGGTCAGAGTATTATGCTCCATCTACACTGCTTACAAGCTTCTTACCTGTCGTGAAAAGGCTGCCAAATCACAAGCCTCTTTCTCTGAGTCTCCCTGCAGTGTCTTAGAGTCTTCTGCCTCTGTACTGGTGCTTTCCCTACCTTTTGTTGCTTGGGGATTGTTATTTTGAACGTGTACTGCTTCTTTTGGTTCCTTTATTGTTTTATCTTGACTTTTGCAAGGTAGTTTCCCTTCTTTTCTGAGTTGTCCTCTCCTTCTGTAACCCCGGTAATTGCTCTGAATTACTACTGCTGCCTTCTCTTTGTCTTCTGGACCTTGTTTTTCTGCCTCAGTTTGCTTCCACGAGCCTCTTCTTAGTGACTCTTTTCTTGTGATTCCTTTACCTCCTGTAGGCATCATTGCTTCATGCTTTAGGTAGTTTCTTTCCACATCCCTGTCAGTTCTGGGCTGGACCACAGCAGATTCTTGATTTTGCCAGTCTGCACTGAGTGTGTCTTGATTATCTTGCTCTTGCTGGGGTCTAGGTTCAGCTGAGGTTTTGACAGAAGATTTGCTGGGTAACTCTTCCAAAGAGTCCTGTTCTTCACCTTCACTAATCTCTTCTACTGCCTCTCCTTCAGTAGATGTTTGCTGTTGCTCCTCTCCATTCCCTGTGTCACTGTACCCTGAGCACTTGATGCTGGTGACAGCACCAGGTTCATCTTGAGTCTCCTCACTTGCTACTACTTCCAGTGTATCATTTTGAGCTGGCTGCAGTTGTGCTTCAAGGAATTCCACAGCAGATAATTCATCCTCTGCTATGGCAGCTGCTTCTTCTTCCACTCTAGGGAGGGCACTCTCCACTTCAGCTGGACTTTCCTCAGGATCTTGAAGTTCTCCATAATTTTCCTTCTTGCTAATGGTTGCTGCATTTTCAGTTTCTTGATTTCTAAGTGATTCCCTGAACAGAACAGAGTTTTGGGCAAAAAATTACAGCTGAAGGAGATGAAGAATAGAGACAACATTACAACTACCTTTGGTGGTCTTTGTGTATTAACTGAAAATTTGATACATTGCAACATGGGAAAGATTTAGTACATATAGCTGGAATTAAAGATAGCATTTTCTATTATTATTATTATTATTATTATTATTATTATTATTATTATTATTACTACTACTACTACTTAAAGTGAAAAGGGATAATATTATTATTGTCAACATTATCATCTCTTAAGTTAAAAGGGACATCTCTGTTAAACTTCACAGAAAATTGTCAGGAAGACAATCTAGGTTGTGTGAGAGCTGATAAAACAGTAAAGAATTAATTTAAATGTTATCAAAAACATAAGGCATAAACCTCTTAACATTTCAGGAATGTATATATACACACAATCCTAAGGGTATTCTGTGTTTCCTCTGTCATTACCTTTGCTTATCTTGAACAGTGACTTAAAATGAGAACAGTTCCTTGCAGATATCTATCTCATTCTTGTCTGAACATTTTTTTTATTATGAGCTAATGCCAAAAAGACACTCATCTATAGATTACATTAACATTACAGATAGGTACAGCATTGTTGATGTGCCTTTATTCCTTGGGCTTGAAAAGCTAAGAAAATTGGCTACTGCTATTAAAAGCCTTCACATAAATATACATTACTTCTGCATACATATCTAGAATAATCCTAATTTTCTTCACACTTATCTTATAATGTTGTTATTCAGTGCTGTAATTACTGGAAAGGGACACATTTGAATGACAGAAAAGAAAACAACACTACCTCTTGCTTTTGAAGACCTTCCTCTCCTTATATCCCCTGTAGTGAGACTGAATGGTTATTGCTGCTTTGTTTCTTGTTTCAGTTAGTTCTTTTCTCTTCTTCCTGAGTAAGTATCCTCTGGCAACTGATACAAATTGTAATGCAAAACAACCTTAGGCAACAAGCAATGGGTGCCACACACATTTCAGACAATCAAATACCAACAGCATTAAACAAAAGCTAGTAAGGACACATAGGGTGCCTATTATGATTATGTTTCGTCTGAAATGATTCCCATAAAACTTTTTGAGATTTCAGAAAGCTGTACCCATTCTACATGAGGATACAAACAAGCTCTTTCTTCATATTTTGTTGGACTGAAGAAAATATATGAAGATGTAGAATAAAACAGAAGCACAGAGCTATACAAATGCCTCTAGAACACAGTACTCAGAGCTTAATGTACCTGCTTTGACTGATTCAGGCAATTGATTTGACTCTGTCTTTCATTTCCATGGGAAATGCTTCATTATCAGACTATAGAGATTACCAGGCTGTCACCTGGCACAGGCTTGGAATTAGCTGAACATTCAATATATCAGAGAGAAACTGGGAATTTTATAGCTCAGCAGTTACAGAAGACTTAGCTCATGCTCCTTCTGCAAAGACTGATTATTCAAAATGAAAAGGCTCAGCATGAAAGATATGCTAAGCTCCACAGTAACCAGGTGCACTGTGGCAGAGAAACTCCCTACCTGTGCTTTGTGGGAGGCACAAGATTAATTTTCTGGTCTGAACCAGAAATAAGGACTCAAACATGGGCCTTCCCTGGGCCATGTAGGTGCTGATGGGTCACTGGGGCCTTGATGCAGTTGCTAGCACGTTGGAATCTGGTGCCATCTGAAGTGCTCCAGGATAGCAAAGCATCCACATGGAGCTGGCGGAAAGAACAGGACAGATGGGAATTTCTGGACAGGAAAAGTTGGGTATAACAGGTGAAAGAAAGCTGGAGGCCAGACAAGATAACCAGGGCACCTCAAATGACACTAGATACCAGAATGAGGGCAAATGAGCTGAGCATTTGCTGATTTTGAATAAAATTATTCAAACCCTAGGCTCTACTGACTATAACAGCAGTTTAGACACCTAAATCACACTAAGACATCTACACTGAAGTGTCCTAATCAGAAACTGAATTGCATTCAGAATCTTGCTTCAAAAACTTTTGAACTTGCAAATAATTTCCTAATGGGAACTGGCACAGTCTCTACAGTGCTGTGATTTGGAAAAATCTGCAATTCCAGGGATTCAGCACAAATCCGCTAATCCCTGGCAAAATAAAAATAACATAGTGTTTCGTCAAAATATTTCTGTTGAACTGTAATACCAAATACAGTACCAAGATATGGGGATACTGGATTCAGGTGACTTAAATATCCTGTGGACGTGGTATATATAGGACTCTTTCTTCAACTCTGCTGAGAGTTTTTTGCATCACAGTGAAAAGGTCAAGCTCACTTGAAAATAAGAAGGGAGCATTAACATTCTGTTCCAACACATTAATATAATTTAGTGCTAAGTTTTATGTGCTTTAGCATTCCCTGCTCATAACTTAGACCAGCTTGGGCTCCACTAGGTGCAGTCAATCAATGTAAGAAGCACGATATAAAATGGGCATAAATGACACCTTGATAACTGGATATAGGACGAAGAAACACAAATACTTATTGGAAGCAGCACAACTGGATTTTATATTGCAGTCTGACAAACCCTTAGAAAAGTGGAAATTGTAAAGCGCTTGGAATACTTCTTGAGTTTCTTGGACTTCTGAGGCAATTCTCTTTCCATTTTCATGTAAAAGCAACTCAACAGGAGTAGTTTTGAAACAAATGAAGTTATCAATGGGCATGGCAATATAAGCTGCATCTGGTCTTTTTATACTATTGTTCACTTTTGAGGTTTTCTGAGAAGTTTGTATTGATATAGTGTTGCACTGCAACACATAATAACTCACACACACACATTAGATGTAAAAGAGGGAAAAAGAGGAAGTTTATTTCTGACTTTGCAATATATAGAATTCTAAAAGTGACAGTGGATTAGAGGATGAAATTGCTACTTCTCCAACTACACTAGTCAAACTAACAGTCTATTAATTTTCTCCTCCTACAAAGAAGAATGCAAAACAATCATTTTGCATTCACGCACATAACAGTGCGTGAGAGCTCTAGTAAAAATATGTAAACATTAGAAGACATAAAAAACTTTTAGAAAAACTTTAAAACTTTAAAAAAGTCAAAGCAATGATATAGTTCCTGTCTAAGCTTTGTTTTCAAACTGGAAGAGGAGTTTTGTATTGCTTTAGAAATAAGTGGTGGTGGGGGGGGCGGAAATAGAAAGAGCTAAGTAAAAATGGACTTCATTTGAGTTTTGGCTTCTTGTGCACTGAAAAAGTTGAAATCCAACTGCAGACATGACAGAGAAGGCAGACAAAAAGAAACATTTGGGACATTAACAGAGTGAAGTGCTAAGTTTATACTTTTGCATTTGCTAAATATTCTAATATAATTGGCTGTGTTCAGATGTGTAATAGTTTTTGACACATTACTGGTTTTTATGCTGGTTTTAGATTGTTTTCTACACTGATGAAATTCCACCAACTGCAGTGAGGTGATCTTCAGCACACACTGGTCCAGTGAAATTAACAAATGCATCTGACAAGGATTAAACTAACACTGGTGGTGGTATATACTCATGAAGGTATATTTGATGTTGTTTAAATAGCCTGGGTACTGGCAACATTAGCTTATATTTGTGATTACTGAAAATGCTGTGCAGATTTGTGTCAGCTGTTTTTATAGAATCATAAAATCATAGAATGGCTTGGGTTGGAAGGGATCCTAAAGATCATCTAGTTCCAACCCAACTGCCATGGGCAAGGACACCTTCCACTAGACAAGATTGCTCAGAGCCCCATCCAACCTGGCCTTCAGTCCTGTATCTCTCCAACTGTACTGCTCCTGATTTCAGAGCTGCCTAGACCGTGTCTAGCTTGGGGATGTCTCTGCAGGGACAGGGGAGACCAAAGTACAGGGAGGAAAAAGGGGTGTCCCATAGCAACACCTGAGCCCAGGGTCATTATGGCTGCAAAAGAGATACAAAGCGATGGCAAAAAAGAAGAGACACGAGTGAATTCACAGCTTGCAGTCTTCCCAAATATAACCATTACTGACACATAACAAACCCTATTCCTAACTGAGCAGCACCCACACACACATGCAGTGGTGTGTGGGTTTCAACAATACCCGTAGCTGGGCAGCTGCAGTACTCAGACTAGGAGTGACAAGGTTTTGCTATGCATTTGAGCATCCTACTGCACAGCAGTGGAAAATGCCTAAATCACTCTGAGGTACAGGTAACAGAATACAGTGATCCATTTCAGCCACTGTATATAGACATATAAGTTGTACCTCAGAACATGCAAATGAACATAGTCAATCAGTGTAGCAAGAATCTGGGTCAACATATTGTGTATGGATAGCACATTAAAAGCCAAGAAAGCAAACAATTCTTACTTGCTTGAAATTTGGTAATGTTTTCTTCCACTTTTTTATTATGCTTTGCATTTTTGTATTCTTTACGAGCAACAAACCCCCTGTAAGCTGAAAAGAGATGTTAAAAACTAGGTAATCCATGAAGTACAAAAAATAATAAAAATATTCTGGAATTACAGACCTCTATTAAAATGTTCATAAATATTTTGCAGGCTTTATGTTTCAAAAAACATGGCAAACAAGCACAAATAGTAAATCTACATAAAAATACATCTTCTGGTGAATAAATTTATTCTGAAATAAATGAATATAAAACACGAGATAATCAGAATGTAAAATAAGATTACGTTTGAAAGTATTAAAAAAATCAGGTGATGCCTCCATCAACAGGGTAATTCGCCTTATTATCTAGGACAGTTAATATATTTTATTTTCATTATTACATTATACAACCTTGTCAGTGCATGCCAGAATATTATTAATAAGAGTATAATCTGTGCAATAACATCCTTCCATTCTTAAAATTGCCTTTTAAATATAACACTGATAAATGTAATTTCAGTAAAGAGATTGTCATAATCTGGTTAAAAGAAATTTTTCTTCATAAGAACAGATACAACCAAGTATAAGATATTTTGTCAAATGTAACAGCAGGAAAAGAGCAAAATCCACATCCAGCATGCACATTCATCTATCAACTGTACACATGTACTAGCTTTAAGAAAAATGTTAAATGTTTTAAAGCTATTACCTGACTGTATTTTAATAGCACTTTGTTCCCTCTGTTCCTTTATCTTTTTGTATCTCCTCGAACCCAGCCACCCTCTGACATAAGCTTGAATCAAAATAATCATGTCAACTGTCTCCTTCCGCATTAAATTCAGCTGCTCCACATGATAGTATTTGAGGAATACCTTTAAAAGAGAAACAAACAAAAGTTTTATTTACCTTCCCAGCCCTTTATTGACTTGATACATTTAAGAGTTACAAGTTGGTTTCAAATGATGAACAGACCCTTCAGTTGTAGTACCTAAAGGATCATTTTTTGAGATAGCATTTTCATTGTTTGCAATATTAGTTTACCTTACTCTTCTCTTCAGCATGTTTAGTCAGTCTCTGCTTATTAATTTGTTTATGGCAATATTTTTTAAAGTTCCAGTGCAAACTTTCAGTCTGTAACTATATTTTCAAAACTACAAGGCTGACAGTTTTGTTAACCTCACAAATCTAATTTAAGTTGCATAAATGTGATCCAAATCTGGAACCTTCAATTTCTCAGTTTCCCAATTTTAAACCTAAAGCATAGTTTATTTACGAAATTGTTTTTATCAAGCATGAAACTCACATAAGTCCTGAAAAGTGAATCCAGCACAAGGGTCACCAACACATTCCTGGTATATATTAAGGACTTTGCTTTTTAAAAAGAGTAAAGACCAAGAGCTATTCCAACAAAATTGGTGAGAAAACAAATTGTTTACTATGTTAACAATGGCATACTGGAATGAAGAAGATACAGTATATTAAAAAATTACTTTAGTTTTTCCAAGAACCCAGTTGTCAAGGTGGGCTTTTTCCAAGATGGCAGCACAGGTCTCTGGGCTTACTGGAGGATCATCATTTGTTTTGTAACAGATGAGGTAATACCTAAAGACAAATGCATGATTCTTTATGTGATTAATGGAGGGTAATACATGCAAATATATTTAAACCATTCTTTTAAGTAATAAAAACAATTCAATGAAAGAAAACATAGCACTGAAAAAAACCAAAACAGCATATGAAAGAAAGTGCAGTTATTTATACACAGGATTAAGAAACTCAGTCAAAAGTGGATGAGTGACATATTGCACAGCCTGGAGGGTTTTTTAATTCTATACCAACACCAGAAGGTTTTTAAAAAGAATTCAACCCAAGTAGAATAGCACACCATTTCTTTCCTGCTCGCTACATTCTGTGAAAATGATTTCAGTGGTAATATCAAAATAAAATAAAAATATTTTAAAAGCTTTTTGGCCTAAATTATATTATTTCATAATCAGAAATTTCACAAAAAATACCTATCTTGTCTCATGTGCTAGACCGTCTACCTTTGAGATACTTAATATCTCAATAGATGCTGAGATGCATCCCAGCTCTTGTTAGCTCCTTGGAATCAGTTTTGCAAAACCTTTTGGAACATGTAAGTGCCATTGTGACACATCATCTGTAAGCACTTAAACTGGCAAACTCATTACTCAGAATTATTTCTGACTAGGAACAGAGGTCACAATGCTCACTCATAAAAATTACCTCTGATACACCAGCTCAGCTGCTGGATAGAAAATACTTGTTTGTTCCAGGACTTTCCAAAATGCTCTACAACAAAATGAACCATCTCTATCTTGACTTTTTAATTTAAGAAAATTACATTAATTATGTGTGCTTCCTGATAGTACATTCTGCTTTTTTACTGTTATTCAGCCTTTAAACACAAAGCCTGGGTTTACCAGCTTTAAATGACAGTAACAGTTTGCTCATGGAATAATAAAAAAAAGAGACAATGTCGATTCTTCATTATCACCTACAGTTCCCTCTTATTTTTTAACACAATGAATTAGCTTATTTTTATTAAAATCAAATAATGATGCCATTATCTCACGTCTACCCATAACTATCAACTACTAAAAAAACCCAAAAATAAGACATACATTTAATAAAAATCTTTTTTTCTTTTGAGGGCCATGTCCTCAGTGCCAAGGATCTGCCCAGCCTCACTGCAATCAGGGGTACAGTCTCTAGAAAGTTACCCCATTATGTTTACTGCCTTTATCTATGTTACTTGAACAGTTAAGTTTGGGTGTTTTTTTTTAATAAAAAGCTGTCACCAAAAGCTACAGCACATCTTGTAGTGATAACTATCTCTTTCCATGCTGCACCCATCTAAAAGCTGCATTCTTCCAAAACAGCAGCAGTTCCAGGATTACTTTTCCAGAAACAAGGCTTTAAAAACATCCCTTTGCTGTTCCCCTCTCATCTCATGCACCTGCAGCACTCTACTGCTCTCTCTTTCTAATGCTTCTGTCTAAATAGGTGATGCTTGCTTCTTCCCAGTTTTGATCTCCATTCCCACAACTCTGTTCTGATTGAGACAAGTACTCAGGGTCTTTATTTGTAAGAGAGAAGTGAAGATTTTTGGGATGGAGGAAGAAGGTAGTTAAAGGAATAATACAACAACACTGAGTTCAACTAGTTCTGCTTCTTAACTAATACTTAAAAATTGTATTTTAAACAACATTATGCACTCAATGAACTTGTCATCCCTAGACCAAGAGTCCAAAATTAGCATTTACCCTGCACAAGCAGATGTTGCACAGTGCTGAAGGGTGGGAGCTAGAGAAACTGTGGTGTTCCTTGGATGCTGTGGCTGCAAATTCTTGGCTTTAATTTGAAATAAGACATTTCTAATACTCAAATCCTTGAAGAAAATTGCAGAGTATAAGCAAGTAAATTTCTACCCAAATGCTCAGATAGCCTGAAAAATCATTCTGTGATTCATCATCTTTCCCTACCCATCAAAAACACTGTGCCTGAACTACTCTTGGTCATCCAGTCTATAACCTTCTTTGTCACAGGAAATGTCCTTGTTTTTCTTTCAAAGACCATGCCAAAAACACTGCTGGTGCTTAGCAAGCAATGGATGGCAAATGTAGGAGAGAAAAGAGCGGCTTCATGTCGATGTTACCGTTTTATGAAGTTAGCAAAGAGTATACGATGTGAATAACCCTGTCTTCGAATCCGCGCTGTCTCCAGAATTCCCGTGTAACGCAGCTGAACCAAAACTTTTTCTTTGTCAAACTTGTTTGCCTGCCGGTCGTTGTTTGGCTTGATGCATCTGACAAAATGGGGCTGGCCAACGACCATTTTGGATAACAAATCCATCAGAGAATACTGCAAAAAAGTAACAAGAAATCTGTCACCACAGTACTTATGTAACTGGTCCATGTGTAGCTGAAATTTTATTTCATATGATCAGAATCATATCCAAAACCATTTACATGTCATTAAGCTGATACTTCAAGAGTAGATGAAGTAAATGACGCAAAAACAATTCTAGTTTTTCTAAGCTACTAGTATATACTACTTGAGAGAAATACCGATTCCAAAAAAATGCACCAGATTTCATCCAGAACATTCTCACAGATTTCCATGATGTCCAACATATGACAGAACCCTTACATTCCTTACATTTACTTGCTTGTCTTGGAGCTTTGCTAGGTAATCACAGCCATTTTTCTTTTTATTGTTGTCACCTATTTGAAGACCCTTGTTCAGTCAGAGAGTAAATCATCCATCTACGGATGGGAAGTGGAACAGCAGCAACCTAGTAAATATTTCAATTCCTGCATTAGACTGGAGGAAACTAAGGCTACCCCAGAAGAAGGGCTGGTTGAACTGCTCTGATATTGGTGTGTCCTGTTCATTGTACAGACTGATGGTGATACTATAACTGCCTTGCCAAGAGGAAACTTCCAAGGAGGGCAAAGCTAGAAGATCACAATTCCAAAGCTGCATTTTTCCCACCTCACCAGAATACCAGGCTATCAGAGGGGATGCAGCCTGTAGCTCCTCATGCTAGCTGAAGGGAATCTGACCTTGACTGGTGTTTTGAAAAATTGTTTCATAGGAATATCTTATTAAAACACAAATGAAAAGGCTCATTCCTCAAGATTCAACCTGACTCAAAAGAAAGAAGCAGCCAGGAGGTAATGCAGCTCAGCAGTAGGTTGGTTACATGAAACCAGTGTAGGACATCAAGAGCCATATGTTTCCTATTAAAATGTGCAATTCCGTTCTGGACAGAAGCTGAACTATACAGCAAAGTGCTTAATTAGCTCCATCACCAGTGTGCCAACTGAACACAAACAAGTAGGATGCGCTAATGGATATATTTTTTTCCATGCAGTCTGAGGTGGCATATGCTTTTCTCAGCCACCATAGATTTCTGTGTATGAGTAAACCAGTGGGGCTGAAGGTGAATTTTCATTTAAAAGCATTAGCTATCATGATCTGAGCAAGGATGTCCATGGCAGAAAACAGTATTAGAAAAGTGTAAACATAATTAATTCATTTGCAGCCTCTGATGCTAGAAGTGCTGATAATGCACTGAATCACAGACATTAATTTGAATGAGATTCAATATTTTTTTCATCTAGAATATCCAAACAACATATAGCTTTGGACCACTGTGGTACCTAAACTGAAATTATCCTTCACAGTCCACAAAGCTGTGCAACTGTATCTAAAAAAGAGAGATCTGGCTCCTCATTGTTCTGACATAGATGTAAGTCATAAAATCATAGAATATATTGACTCGGAAGGAACGAATCAGGATCATCAAGTCCAACACATGGCCCTGTGCAGGACACCCCAAGAATGACACCATGTGCCTGAGAGTATTGTCCAAATGCTCCTGGAACTCTGTCAGACTGGTGCTGTGACCATTTCCTTGGAGAGCCAATTCCAGGGCCCAGCTATCCTCTGGGTGAAGAACTTTTTCCTGATATCCAACAAAAACCTCCCCTGATTCAGCTTAGTGCCCTTCCCTTATGTCCCGTCTCTGGTCACAAGAGTGAAGAGATCAGGTTCTGCCCTTGCTCTTCCCCTTGTGAGGGTGTTGAAGGTCACAAGGAGGTCTCCCCCCAGCCTCCGCTTTGCCAGGCTGGACAGACCGAGTGACTTCAGCTGCTTCTCATATAGCTCCCCTCCAGACCCTTCACCATCCTCATGGCCCTCCTTTGGATGCTCTACTCTAGTTTAATCTCTTTCTTACCCTGTGGCACCCAAAACTGCTCCCTGCACTTGAGGTGAGGTCACACCAGTGCAGAGCAGGACAATCTCCTCCCTTGTCCAGCTGGCCACACTGTGCCTGATGCCCCCCAGGACAGAGTTGGCCCGCCTGGCTGCCAGGGCACTGCTGGCTCAAGTTCAACTTGCCATGGACCAGGACCCCCAGATGCCTTTCTGTGGCACAGCTCTCCAGCCTCTCATTCCCCAGTCTCTACACACAACCAGGGCTGCCCCATCCCAGGTGCAGAATTTGGCCATTATCTTTCTGAATTATCATGTAGTTGGTGATTGCCCATGCCTCTGATTTGTTGAGGTCTCTCTACAGGGCCTCTCTGCTCTCAAGGAAGTCGAGAGTTCCTCTCAATTTAGTGTCATCAGCAAACTTGGTATTCCTTTGAACTGTGCACTGAATTCATCGTGAACATCCCCTAAGCCACTTTATGGTTTGCTGGGAGAGATGACTAAACAAGAGTTGGAAATTCAAAGCATAACCAACTCTGTGTGCCACTTTGGAGGAAAGGATGCTCTTCACTGCTATTTGCTATTTTAGGACCAGCAGCACAGCCAGTGCTTGGGAAGGTCCAGAGCACTGCTAAAGGAACCACAAGGATGAGCTCTCGGCAGCCACTCTGCAGTGACCATCAAGAACTCCTGCTTCCAATTAACTTCTCTCTCTTTCTTGAACTCTTGGACACTCACTAATGTCCAATCTCCCTTTATCTTGTTTGATGTAAAAACAAGCAAGTGAAAGATTAATACTGATTGTCATACATCATCAAGACAGCAATGTGGCTGTGTAATCAAGTACAATTAAAGATGAAACATCACAATCTCCTCAAAATATTTGTACTGCACAGACTGCTGCACCATATACACAGTTCATAAACTCTAAGTGGATCACTACTGACTCTAACTCAACAGGTGCATTTCAAAAAGTAAAAGAATAAACATTTTTATTAAACATATTTATTAAAATATTTGATATCTTACTCTAAAATAAGAAGCAACTGTCTGTGTTTTCATGCTGGTTGTTTCTCTTGGATGATGTCCAGTATCTCCTGCTTCATTCTATAAAGATGAAGGAAAAAACACTTTTTATCTCCAATTACCCTGCAGTACCCTTTCCAATGCCCCAAGAAAGCACCCCTCAGAGAATATAAATAATTAAAAAGTATTCTAAAGAGCAAAAGTTACAGCATGATCACTAGCACAAATCAGTTACACCAATACTTTGCTACACAATACACAAATATTCACACACACAAAGGGCACGAGTTGGTAATAGAGCATCTAATAACTGCCACAAATGACTGGACAATGTCCGAGGTCCTGTCTCTTATTTCATAATCACTGTTAATTTGATAGTTTTCTAAGGAACGTGGCTATACTTCACACTAATATTTTAATTTCTCTTTTTGCTACAATACAGCTGAGAAATAGTATTTTTTTCCTCCTGAAGTTGTTATAAAGCATAGCCAGAAAGAAGGGAAATGTTAGGTTTTTACCTCACGGAAGGAATATGAATTGCACAACACAAAGATATCCAGCTAAACAGAAAAGAAAATAAAAGAGGGAGAAAAACCAAGGAAGGGGTTACTCGCTTACTTTCAATACCAAAATAGCTACTGCCTTTCTAGTTTAAATTAGGCTTCAATGCAGAATCAAAAAATCTGTTTTCTTACCTTTGTATGACTGATTGATTTTTGGGAGGTCCACATTTGATAACTGATTGTAGTTTTGCTTTTGGTGTGTGCCAGGTTACCTATGGGAAGATGAAAGAAAATAACCTACCAAAGTGCTTACATGTCATCTAAACTAAGAATGATCTTGAACCCCCTTATTCATGCCCCAAGTGCAACCATATGATTATAAACGCATTGACTTTTTCAGAGCATGTCTTCATTTCCCCTTTAACCCGTGAGTGGAATGAGCTCTGAAGAAGTTGCATGAACACAGAAAATGATGGTTTTTTCTCCTTCAGCTCATATATCATCTGCTAGATTAAAAAAATAAACAAACAGACTGCTCTAGAAGGTAAGATAGATACACCTTAGAGCATCTATGTGGTTTTACTCTAATAATGTTCTAGTTCTAATGCAACATATTAGTTAAAGAAAAATGTGCTAATACCCTTCTCTGGCCCTGAGGAAAAGTGACATGGCATGACTCAAGATTATACACCTAAACTCTACTCTTTACTACTCTTTCAACCCCTGGTAAAAATAAGATTGTATTTTTTTCACAGAACTTGCTGGAAACCATCACTGGCCTGTTCTTCCTCTGAAGTGTGGCTGGGTATTCCTGGGTGGCTACTAGCTGACATGGACCAAAACTGTCCCAGGGAGGCATTCTAACCATTAATAAGAATGAGCAGCCCTGTGGGAATGCTTCAGCTACTGTTCACTGACTCTGTTTGGTTTATAGCACAGACAAAGTCTTAAGGCTCTAACTCTGGAATTCTAAGCCAAGCAATATCTTCATTATGATGACTTTGAAGGACTAGGTGCATTGACATGCTTTACAGAGACACTGGTCTTTTCAAGGAATAATGAAAATTCTGCTGATCTTTCCATCATGTCTCTCAGTGTTGATAAACCCTAAACATTGCTGCATGCTGCCACTGCTTCTGCTAATAACATAACACCACTGGGATCTCCCTCTCCACTGGGAGAGCCTGTATCTCTCTGTGCTCAGCTACTATCAGGAGGAGGTGGATAAGAGTTGGACTAACAGCTGCAAATATGTGTCATGGTAATGAAGCGGGTATTATGTGATGATATCAAGGCCTAAACCTCCCTGGAGTTCAGCTGAATATCACAGGGTGGGAAGGAATAAGAGAGGATTACTCACAGCTAACTTTAGCTATGTGAAAGTGAGGTGTCTACAGGATCCCTGCTGTATTTAGTGGAGAGAGACATCTTCAGAGGAGATTTTGCCCATCCCAAGAGAACCACCTGAGATAAGAAGATGGGTTGGACTTTGGGTAATTCTCTACAATTACTCTGATTCTAGATAAATTACATGGATCAGAAACCTAACCTTCAGTTAGCTCTAGCTGGAAGGTTTGAGCCAGTTTTTGAAATGCTACATGCAGCATTTCACAATATTTAACAAGAAGACTAAAACAGCCTTCATAGTTACCTTGCAAAACATTAAGACTTGGGATCAGTTCTTGGAGCCATTTGGATGCTTACTTGGACTCTAGGAAATTATGGTTTAGTATATTACCAGATATCAACAAGCCAAAAAGTTCAGGCAAGGGCATTGAGCTCTGTGCTTTCCCAGGAACACTCAAAATAAAATTCCAAAACCAAATTTTGCATTCTAATATCAAAGCTCCCTTTGTAAAGAAGCCTTGCCAAAACCTCAGCTTCTGTAAGTTATGATAACATTTTCATTTCCATTAGGCACTTTCAATTTTCTGCTAGAAATTTCTGCTAGAAATGTCTCCCATGTAATTACACAAGAAAATAATGTTGTAAAGTACTTACTGTATGGCATCAATGCCATCACACAGGGAGTACTACAACACTGTAACAAACTGGTTATGAGGAAACTTACCCATAATCCTGCAATGGAAGGCAGGACACTTTGCAAGGACATAGCTCAAACAAGGTGCAATTTAGGAGCAATTTCTGTAGAGCCAGTTTTATTCCTCCACCTCTATTTAGGAATTTCTTCTGGAAGAGCTTACTAGAAGGACCCCATCAGTTACCTATCATATAGAACTCTAAGGCTGTAAAAAAAGGAGTGTCTTCTCAGTCTTTGCAGCAGATGAGAGGAGCCCCAAGCTTTGTTCTCTACCACTTAGAGATAAATTGCATGGAGGCAATTTATATATGCCCTGTTCAAAACAGGCCAGTGACATACCTGATCCTTCCTGTTCAGTCCTCAGCTCAAGAGATGCACTCCACTCCCTGGCTTGATCCCCTACCCTGAAGAAAGGACCTTGAAAGAAGTCTCTACCACTTCCTTGGCACTTGACTAGACCACTATCTCCCTTGCAGCTTGAGATGGCTGCAGCTCCATTCAGTATAGATTGCATGGTTGGAAAGTGAAGCCACAAAGTGTGTAATGTCATCAATGAGTGGGCATATGAAACCTAGCAGTGGTCATCACGATGGCTGGAAAAAATAAGAAGATCACCACAAAGCAATACCTGTTTTTGTGAGAGGGTGAGTTACCAGCTGCCGTATCAGGTTGTTTTCAGATGATCGCAGTAGCAGCACAATATCAGCTGGCAGAGTATCTCTATTTTTGGCTAGGAATCCACTTGCATTATATAGAACCTGTTCAAAAAGTGCATTTATACATCTTCTTGGATTTTGAAAAGTAATTGTAAATTTAAGCTTTCTGGAATAGGACTTTAACAAGATACACAAATAGTTTTTCAGCTATCAGGCCCACTCTCACTTCTAGTCTTTTTTTTTGGACCACTAAAAGTTCTACCTTTTCAATACTGAGATATGATGCAAATGACTAAATGCAAATCTGTAATTCCAAAGCAGCTTGAGACATTTATTTTTCCTAATGCAGGTAGTAGTTTTGACCTATGTGGCTTTATTACCAGGACAAGTGTATTGCAGTCCTCCTTTACACCTGTATATATGCTAATGCACAATTAAGAAGAAACTTGATTTCAACCACATCACACAGCGTTACCCATATGACTCTACAATCTTTCTGTGCTATACATATTATGCTGCACTGGACCCAGGACTTGGCACTCTTCCTAGGGATCTCTGTATTAACTGTAGAGGAAGTTTGCAGAATCACAAACTGCATTATTGGCAACTGAAATGTCTCTAAAAATTCCAAGAATGGTATACCTAATTCAAAATGTAACTTCAGAGTTCTATCTCGATGGTCTAAGGGGTTCACAAGAAAACTTGATGTGTCAAGAGGGGTAGAAGATACTGGGACATATAAGTTAGAAAAACCCATCACAGAACAACTCAGCAAAAGTCTTAAATGATGAAAAAGACTTGTAAAGGAAGAGGAAATAAATTGTTCTCCAGTTCCACAGTAAGGGGTAATGAATTTACATGGCAGCAATGAAGACATCAGTTAGACAGCATAAGAAACTTCCTAATGAAAGAGTTTTTTGAACACTGATGGGGCACTGGTGTAATTAGCCATCTTCAGTGGCTGCTAACAGGAATGGTAGAGGGAGACTGGCTTTTCACTCCTTCCAGTGAGTTATGCTATGCTGGTGAAATGCAACTCAGCTGGAGATGAGATTCAGAGGAGTTACAAGAGGCTCTTTGTAACTTGCTGTCTTATATTATGTAAGGTGTAAGGTATTTTCCATCAGTTGATGGGCAGTATTTGCCTCTTCCCAGCCCAGCTGCTCCAGCACTGCACAGACCCAACATGGTTTCCCATGTGAGACATCAGTGCTCACTCTGTACCCTTTAGAAGAGCTCAGAAGGAGGTGGGAGCCCCTGCTTTCCCAAGGCAGGTTCAGGTGAGCAGTGCCATCCTGCTGCAGTGTAACAGCAGCTCCTCCTGTGTTTGTGCAGCACGTGCAGCCAGTCACCTTGTGCAGGAAGTGAGGAAGGATGCTGCTGCTCTGCTGCTCACTGAATGAAGCAGGAAGCAGGGCCTGCACTCTCTGTCTGGCTGATGGCAAAGAACAGAACTAAGAAAGGTTGATGGTGTGTAGGAGGTAGTAGAAAGAATGGATCTGGGTGGTGGTTAGAAACAGTGGGAAAGTGGGAACAAGCATGGTGCAGGACTTCGAGGAACTAAGGGGAAGAGTGTTGAGTTGCATTACATGCCAGCTATGTTTTGTGTCTTCTATAACACACACAGTTCATTTACCTGGTGACATTTAAGAAAAATACACTCCTGCTATTGCTTTTTTTTTTTAATGAGGGATAATAACTTTTCAATTTATTTTTGATATGTAAGGCATTGCCAACATTCCCATGCCTAGACTGAAGAGACAACTGTTGAGAACTAACCCAGATGACCTCTTCTATTTCGTTCCAGCCCTACCATTCCACAATCCCCAACTAACATCATCAGGTGTCTTACCTTTCCTGCATAATGATAAATTCCAAAGGTTAGATCTACTCTTTTTGGTCTCCAAAAATATTTTGATTTCAAATTATCTTCAAATTTTTCTGAAAGGAAACACATAGCTTATCTTACTGGAGTTACTCTACAAGCATTCTCTTCTGAACCTGTAGCCCTCTAAGGAGATTTCCTGACTTCTCAGCCAATGCAGAGGCACAAAACAGACACTGATGTTTGCAAGGACAGAGATACCATAATGTTCTTGTAACAAAAGAAGACACTGGATAGAGAATATGGGAGCTCTTGGACAAGTTACTTTGTTCCTATTTTTTAATCTGTAACCTCAGAAAATCATAGAATCATTAAGGCAGGAAAAGATGTCCAAGCCCTTAATCCAGCACCACTCTGTTCACCACTAAGCCATGTCCCCAGGTGCCACATCCACATATGTTTGCCAGGGCTTGCCTTTCCAAGATTTTTATCTACATATATGAAACAATGCAGAAATCTTTCCTAAGGATTACTTGAGGAGTTATGAGGAAACATTTACTGATTGAGTGCTTCTGTACTGTAGGCTAAAAAGCATGAGGATAAAAGAACAACAAGCTCATATAATTGCATAGGCATTGTTATGGGATTTTATTAGGTCTTCTGATTGGGTGTTGGCTAAAACTCTAATTTGACACTTTGCCCATTCAAAAAATAGTAAACCCAGGATTTATCTGCACGGAAATACCACTGAAATAATTAAGTCAATGGTAATTGCAGCTACTCAACAGCACTGAAATATTCAGGATCTGAATTACAATGACTTTAGGTGTTTTAATTTTAACTGGTGAATAGAAAACACTCAGAAAGCATAATTTGCTGAAAGGTACTGAAGCATATTTGCAGTCATTACTCTTAAAACATATTGAATTTCTTGCTCAGATACTGCTCACAAAAATCTCAGAGCTGAGCACAACTGAACTTTGCAGTGTTCTTGGTCTATGAACCTAGAGTTTTAATTCAGTTTGATCTTTACTTTTCAAGCTATGCAGCAAAAATTCCTGAAGGTGGGAGAACTTTAAACCTGGATCAGCAGCTTAGGTTCATTTGCACTCTTGATGTTTCTCTATGAATCTCAAGGGCACAACCATACCAGCATTCATGTCTCCCTCAAACACACTGTGACACTGAAATGGGGGCTCACTAAAAGCACAACTAGCATGTAGTCTGTTGCTATAGGACACATGAAAGCACAACACCAACCACCTGCTATTTGCAAGGTAAAGAAGAAGGTTTATTCTCCGACTCCAACTTTTATACTATCCCAAAGGTGACATTGGATTGGAGAATGAATGGGCCACCTCTCCAAAGACATTGGACAAACCACTAGTACATCAAGTTTCTCCACCCCCATAAAAGAATGCAAAACAATATGTTGTTTATAGAAATTGTGTGGGAAAGTTCTCCAACAGAATGTAAACTCAGACGGCTTTAGAAAATCTTAAGAATCAGGGTGACAGTAGTCTGAACTGAATGTGCCAAACAGAAATTGAACAGAAGACAAGCTGTAAAACTGTGAAATGAACCATATACTTACCTACAAGTGTCTGATCTGTTGCTTGTGGGAATCGGCTTTCCTCATCCAGCAGAGACAAGAGACCCATTGGTTTCTGCAGGAACATATCTAGGAGGGGCCTGTTGTCCTCGTATTCTATAACTCTTGCATCAACACCTTCGTAAAGGTATTCATTCTGCAGCAAGAAACAGAAGGCATGCTTTGTCTGTGTATACAGAATAACTTCAGAAAATAATTCACAAACTGTCAATTGTAGCAAATTAAAGCTGCATTGAGAAAGTATGCCTCAGGGCTAAAGCCATCAAGGTTTTGCAGAAACAAATGTCAGCTGGGATTTTGGTTTTGAATACGTAAGTTCAATACTCCTATGGCATATTTGGTTAAATAAGATACTTTACAGGAACAGCAAGAATTAAAGAAACAGAGTTGAAGAAGATACAGTATATTGTTTGCAAATAGAGATGTCAGGGTCTATTTATTTCCCTGGTCTGAAATGTAGAAAATGTCTTAACCATTTAGAGCTATGTTTACATTTCCAACTCATTGCTTAAATCCAAGTGATGGCTAAGATTTACAAAAGTGACTACAGGTTCCAGTGGCTTTACTTGTTTGATCACTCTCCTCAAATTCCTGGAAAAATTCTTAAGTGGAGAAGAAAGGTACACATACTTTCTAAAATTAAAGAACTGTGCACATACTTCCTAAGAATTAAAGAAATTGCCTCAGATTTGCCTCTAACACATTTTCACTCCTTTTAAGGAACTAGGGAAAGCTATTCCCCAAGATCTAAAAACAACAAAAAAGCTAGTGGGGTGGATTTCTTTGTTTGCCTTTTTTTTTTTTTTTTTTTTTTTTTTTTTTTTTTTTTTTTTTTTTTTTTTTTTTTTTTTTTTTTTTTTNTTTTTTCCTGAAGACTGCAAATATCCCTGGATTCCTCCCAGACTAAGAAAAAACAAATAACAAATATGTCCACAGTGTGTTGTGATGGTTTTGTCTTGACTATAATTTAGATTATAGCTGGAAAATACATGAACGACCTTCCTTAATCCTTTAGCAAGGCAGAGGAGAGCTGTAGATTTACCAAGAGAAGGTTGCTCTAGGGACTACCACCCCCCATTATTTTTGCTTGAATTAGGTAAAGCAATAGCAGTTTTCTACCACACAATGCTCCTGTTTGTGCCAGGGATGCCTTCAGTCCTGTGCAGGCTGTACTGTGAAACACAGAGCTTTTGATCTACTTTAAAAATCATACCTCTGGCCAAAGGATAGGACTTAATAAGTGTTGTATTTATAGTGTTTGCCATCCTGAATTCATTGTGAGAAGAATGTCACAAAAATGAATGATGGCTAATACTAATGAGTTCAAAGACCTCTAACCTTGGAAGACCTCTCCTTATGTGTCATTCACTTGAGTCTGAATGAGTGAAGAAGGCAACACATTGAACATTTAAAAAAGAAGTTCACTTTCATGTACAACAGAAAAGCACCTGTTTCATACCTCTTAATCTCAGAGAAACAACAAAAGGCATAAAATCAATAAGACTGGTCTAAAAATACAGGCACAAATAAAAACCTGCTGATCCATTTGAAAGAGGACACAAAATATATACCTAAACCTTTTCAGTATCCAGACTGATGTAATTTCCCAGGACACTTTTCAGTCTAAGGATAGGTTATAATTCAGTTTATATGCCACACAAGGCTGTAATCAGTAAGAAGCTCACCTATAGCCCCATGAGGACTCCTCATTTGAGACAAATAACATTAACCTCATTCATGTCTCCCCTGAAGCAGTGGACAGGTGGGGTTTTGCCTTTTAATTTAATCAATGACCTGAGTAGCAGGACAAGACAGGAGAGTAATAAATGTATCACTGATATAGGTGAGAAGTTAATTATGTACCTGTAGGAGCTGGTGGCAGAAAGGGAATGTGTTATCTCCCAGAGATAACATGGCAGTAGGGGCAGTTTAACTGAGGGCTACAGCTACAATGACACATAGATGTTCATGGAACCAGCTGGTACTGCTTAGGATTATCTAGAGTAATCTTATCAAGGGGGCAAGGGGAAAAGACTTCTCAGGAAGGTCTGTCAGAGGAGAGTGTTTCTGTGACACTTGGACATCCTCAAACAAGCTCTCACAATCAACCTGTCTAATCATAAACCTTTTCCAACTTCAAATGCTTGTGAGAGGCTGGTTTAGAGAGCTGATAAAAGTGTTCTCCTTGAAAAAGAAAGGAACTCTTAAGAGCTGTACTGCTGTGCTATAACAGCAACACCTGCTCCTCTCCCTGGCCAGGCAGCACCCCGGGCCTGACCTCCAAGCCTGCAGTGCATGTGACCACTCAGTTTGTGTCCTTTGTGTCTCGACAACTGAACGAGTGTCAGCCCTGACAGTTTTGGTAATGCTGCCATCTCCCCAGCAGGATATGAAGGAGTTCACTCCATCACTTCCCACGGGCTCCTGAAGGACAGCTGATGACCAAGCCAGGCACCACTGTGACAGATGACTCAGAAATTATATTGTATTACATTTTCTGATGCAGTGCTAGTTTCAACCACAGCATTAGGATACAAGCAGCAAGTATAAAAGCTTTAATGACAGACATCATAAAACTGTAATGAAATAGGTCTTATTTGAATTAATAAGATGAATCAGCTACAGGATTTTGCAATCCCCTGTGATGTTTTTGACAAGAAAGCTTCACAAAATAGGTATTTCTTGAAATTCTAAAGCATAATCCATTAGAAAGTATTCCTGTGGATGGGATGTCAAAAGGAATAATCAAGTTATACTCAATCTCATCTTAGTATTACATGGTATCTTTCCTATGATCAAAACTATGCAACATTAGCTTGTACCACCTGGTTTCAATGGTAACAAAAGAATTACAAAATGCATTAGGGAATGGTCTTCATGTTTAATAAAGTAATGCCATTTTACTGGGAACATTTTACAATGACACTTTGGTTTAAATGGAGACAACAGACACTTATTCACAAGGAACCTTTTCCAGCTGAAACTAGAAGATAAATTGTCATGAGAATGTAAAATAAACACTGCATACATTTAATGCAAAAATTATCATTCCTTCCAGCTGATGGCAAACTTGCTACTTTCCAAAATGTTTTAGCTGCCATTAAACCTTTTACTTCTTATAGGGGAATGACAAATGAGAAAGGAATGGGAAGGCTGTCTTGCTGCACAATGTGACCTGCAGATCATGGGGCTGACAGAAATTAACTTACATCAGTATCTAATATGTAAGGGGAACACCTTGAAGGACAGGACTGAAGGTCCAAAAATTCTACTTTGCTTTATATTAACCAAAAAAACCCCCGCTGTACTAGCAAAACAAAAAGCAGGGACTAAGTTGAGAGGCCACATTCTCTCCTCAGTCAGTAGAGACAGGGATGTATCTATTTGTCTCCATTTACTATTGGGAATCTACACTATCATTATCTTAAACTATGTACCCACCAGTCTTTCTGTTAAATTAGTGAAAGGAGATTGCATTCAGGCCTAAAAGCCTTTATTCTTAAATGCAAACATTAAGTCAACAATAAAGAATAAATTATCTTAATTTTGACTTGAGTTGTCCATGTTGGCCCACAGGCACTCCACTCTAGCTGACACCCTGAGCCTCAGGTTGTGAGAGTACCACTGTTCCTTTCTTCTACCCCTGACACTACTGACTTTTTTTTTTTTTTTTGTAGGCCACACTTCCAAGGAAAGCAAAATTGAACACTTTTCAGATTCAGATACAGAAAAGAAACCACTGACAAGGATAAAACAATGTCACCTGCAACGTTCAAAGCACTATCAACCTTAAGAGTGTATTTACTACTTGGCTTCATTGGTCAAATTACCAAAATATGATTCACCTTCTCTGTTGACATAATCACTACTTACTACTAGGTGAACATGAGCTAATGACAAACTAAACTGTAATCAACTGATTAGGCCTCAGCTTCCAATCAGATATGTCAAATTTCATCAAATTACATGTGATATGATATTCAACAGGGCAAAACAGGGAAAGGAATGAAAAGATAATGTATCTGTAAATTTTACGTCTCTTGAGGGAAGTGTAAAAGAATTTAAATTCTTCAGTCTTCCTTGGGTATATCTAAAGCATTCAATACAGTCCTGTGTTCAATGCAGACTTCTGAGATGGCACAGGGCAGTCTGACATGTCTGTCTGGCACTGCACAGGGCTGTGAAGAGACACTAGCCTGGGTCCCCAGCAACAGGACAGCTCCAGCAGCACAACAGTCAGGGCTAAGGGAAAGTCAGCACAAAGGTCTTCGTGACTTCTGGCATCAGCCTTCTCATAAACATAACTTCTTTTTTTTAGACTCTAAGGCACAAACCCTTGCATATAAAGTAATTTGGAAAGTCAGGCAGATATATCAGCAAAGGGCAGAGGCCATCCTAATGTTTTACATTAGTGATATTTTTTGTTTTAGTTTACAATTAAAGTACATTATTGGTGTCAACGCAGCAGAGTCCTTACAGTGAACAGAAAAGATTCTGAAGCCACCTGCTTTCTCAAAGGCTGTTTTTTTTTATGTAAAACTGGGACAACCATGTAAAAAATAAATGAAAAGTGATGTCTTATAATGACTATGAATCATAACACAAATCATTCTGTGCCATTGGGTTGTAATGCAGAATAACACACTTCTCATTTCCTGTCTCTGAAAGGGGCAAATTTACACCCACACTTGCATGAACTTAATCTATATAGCTCCTTCTGCACTCTTATAGTAATATCTTTGGAGACTGCTACAAGATAATATAATGAAGTTTGATTTAATCTGATGTAGTGGTTTGATGTACATTAAGGTAGACAGTCACTTGGTATCACAAGCTGGATGTGGACACTTGTAATAGAAATACTAGGACTGGTATAAATGAAATATGAATGGGAACGTGCATATAAGCACCAGAAAAAATAGTCTTAAAAGAATAGCTGTGCCATAGCCTGTGATTTGAATGAAGAACATTTGCTCACAACAATAAAACTGAGGAAAGAGTTTCTTACATCAAGAACAGAAGGCCTTCACTTACATAAAAACACAGTGCAGAGAGTGAGTGGAACACTGAAGCTGACAGCAGGAGCATGACTGTGAGGTTACAGCACATCACACACAATTTTCTCACAAGCCCAGCATGGAAATGGACTATAGGCATAAAAATGTGTATGTTCCAAACAAGTAAAGCCAGATAATGGCCTTGCTAAAGGTTATGGATGCTGAAGTAAATAAGGGTTTGAGGCAAAAAATGATTGCTAAAGGCTGTAAAAGATATGTCCAAAAGTTATTTCAGCAAGAAGAACCTAACAGACATGATGAAGACTTGCCAGATAGTGTCCATTATTCTATATGTCACTCATAAAATTTTCTTGGCCAGACCATTTGAACACACTCACACCCACCCACATATACCATGGTGCATTCTATGTATCTGTGTGTCCATGAAATCTGTGAGAGAATGAATGGAAATGGATAAAATTTATGTACTTAGAGATTCTGTAAATAAAGATTACCTTCCCCTTCTATGGATTCTATAGAGGAGTTGTATTAACTTCCTACAGGGAGAAACGGGCAAACTATATATTGTCAAAATAAGAATTTTTCCCCCTATCTGCTCAGTAGCAGAATAACCACCCTGACCATGGTGCAGGAAAGCACATGCAAGGGAGCAAACTATTCCTCCTACATGGTGACACCACAAACTTCTGCAGTAAGATAGGTCTGGCCAAAAAGTTCTGTAATGGGATATGTAGAAACAAGTAAAGGTCGATTATACTGAACTTGACTCTATTTAAAAAAGAGAAGGAACATTAAGACAATATTTGGGTGTACAGGAATAGGGCTAGGAAAGCCAAGACTGGCCCCTCAGCAACAAAAGGTAACTAGGGAGAATGTGGTCCTGCTGCTGAACAAGTTTGTGGATGATATAGAAAAGGCTGAGATATTCAGTGCCTTCTTTGCATTGATCTTGACTGATAATCCCAGGTCCCTGAGACCAGGGGAAAAGTCTGGAGCAAGAAAGACTGAACACAGGTGGATCAATTAGTGAAAAGTGGACATATGCAAGTCCATGGGATCGGGTCAGTGCCTGGGTTTGATAGAAATAAATATTGTTGCTGCAGTCTGTGCTATTTCCATCTCCCAACTGTTAGAAACAGCAATAGCCAAGTGACCTTCTTTTGTGAACTTGTGTACTTTGTAAAGAAGATGCCAAAGTAATTACAGGAGATCTAGTTAAAATTTTCTCTGGCTTTTGGATGATATTAAAACCAAGAAAAACTTGTGTCAATAATCTTGTACATAAATCTATAAAAAAACCTACAAGATACAAGACTGCAAGACAACATTTCCTGAAATAAACGGGAAGAGGATAAAATATTGAGCCATTAAAAAAATTGTTATATTACACATAAATGCATTCATTTCTAGACTGACACAGGCATGTACATGCATGTACACACCTGCATACATAGACATATTCCAGACTTGTAGCTCATCCTTGAAACAGTGATTAACACTGACAAAATACTCTGTTTCCACTAAAAATTACAGTTCAGAAGAATTTTCATCCATGTATCATAAACATCACTAATTTCAGTAAAACAACAGAAGTACAATTTCACCTATGGTTTGAATTCTGACTGTTCTGCCGTATAGAATTCTGAAATATTTCAATTTCCAGCAAGATCTTTTTTTTTCCCTGAAAATGTTATTTCTTCAAATAACAATATTGAATGATGATTTAAAGGTGGTTAATTTAAATCTCCTGGAATTATTTACAAAGCTGAGATGATTTTTTTTCAGGTTTTTCCCTCTCCAAATTAATGAACTTTTATATTGACAGTGTTATTCCTTTTCTGTTTTAAAATAAATTATTTAGATTAAATGTATCATTATTTAGCTGAGATGATCTATTTTCTCAAGAAGAACAAAACAATTGTGAAATTTGCAGTTTTTAATAATGTAATTTCAGTGATCATTAAGCTTATTAGTAAACTATTATGAACTTTGCACTTTCAAAATTTTGTTACCACTCATTTACTTTTTTACTATTGAATCATACATTATAACACTCATTATTCCTCAAGAAAACAACACTGCATTTGCATCAATCAGATTATCACAGTGCACAGTGTTATGTTGCTTAGTTACTGTAAATTTCAAGTTTAATGCATTTTATGTTAGCATTTTACTTGCAAATAACAAGCACTGCTTCATGGAAAACATACTTAAAAATATTTTTTATAATCTGCTATTTACAAGCTATCATGGAGAAGGAACAGTGTCATTTCTTAAGACAAAGTTTTATATGTTCACTAATACTAAAAGCTTTATATGTTTTATGTGTTTAGTAATACTAAAGATTCATCAAAATAACCAACACATACCTGTTCCCAGGCAAAGACATGTTGATTGAAGTAGAACTGAATTTGCTCATTGGCAATGTTGATACACAGTTGTTCAAAAGAATTCTTTTTGAAATTCTCAAAGCCAAAGATATCAAGAATTCCAATATTCAAGCCATCATCATTTTCACTGCAAAGATGAAATATACTTTTCATTGTTGTATCTTCATTTTTCATTAACTACCTTCATTACTATTTCACAAAAGAAAATCATGGGCCAAATCTGTACACCAGTTAGACAGTATAAGTTTTGCTGAACCAGAGAGCTCTTAAATTGATAATAATTGTTAGTTTGAAACACATAAACACAGATAAATTCAAAGATTACTGCAATGCAGACCAGATATGCTAAACCACATAATGACCAAGTTAACTGATAAGTGAATAGGGGATTTACAATTTTATTTTTACACTAATATTTGTAAGTAATTATTCTAAAAAGCTGACAACAGTACAGAAAGAATATGCAGTTCCTTTTGTTTCTCTTGTAATAACACAGGCTTTAGTCACCAGTATCCTGAAATTAAAGACTGTTGTCAAGTATTATTTCTTCATATTATTTACTCATAACAATTAAAACTGCTTAGTTTAAAGTAAAAAGAATGACTAGCTAGATCATTTATGCAGCTAAATAACTTTATGCACTGGGATGTGGTATGAATTTAAATTACCAATTAAATTCCAGAGAAGCACTGGAAAAACTTTGGTTTGATATTTTAAGTAGGGCATACTCAAGATATGTGATCACTTCTGCAACTGCAAAAAAGCTTTAATATTTATTTGCTGAAGCAAAAATTAAGAGGATATAATTTTATAACAAACTGAGGTTGACATTAGTGACCTTTCTAGGCAAGTAAAATAGAAATCACATTATTTCTAGAAAACCTCTTTGAGGGGCTATCTGTAATAATTTTTTAAATAAAGATTTAGGAAGAAATTACAAATCAGCCTCAAGACTCATGAATAGCACTTAAACCTCTTTATGAAGTCCATCTCAAAAAAGGAAGCATTTCATTGTGGAGGGATTTGAATTTTGTGACTATTTAATCTGTCTCAAAATTACATTTTTGATGAATAGACTGCTAAAATTTATCTTCCCTATTCCATTTTCAGAGCTCATTACATTAAAACAGAAAATGCAAATTATGTTACTATCACAAAATCAAGCAAAGTTTGTTTGGGTTTGATTTATAGTGAGCATTTCAGGTTGAATTTTCTCCCTCTTCACCAGCATGCTAAGTAAGTATTCAGTTTGAAAAGGGCTCTGTAACAGACAACTGAGAGAGGCACACAGGCTAGAAGTGCTGACCCATCTATCATGGATTTTATCCTATCACTTACTGATAGAAGTTCCGTTTATTGTTGCTCTGCTATAACCAAATACTTAAAAATTTAGACAAATTTTAGGATTGCAGCCTTGGCTCTCCTCTGATGTTTAAAAGAAAAAATCCAGGAAATCTACAGATCCAGGAGATCTGCAAACAAAAGCTATTTGCTATTGATATGTTATTTAAAATGTCACCTTGTAAGTGTAAAGTGGACAACACCTCTATTAAATATGTTTAAAAACTATTCCCATTCATATATGAAACCATGCTCATAATAACAGTGACAAAAGAAACATCATCAGTGTAAATAAGGCAGAATTTGGCCTATGTAATCAACATGATGAATAAAAAGTCTACTCTGAAAAAATATGAAAGAAAAAGGGTTGAAAGTTAAAAGGTTTAGACATACAAAAGAAAAAGAATAAGGGTTAGATGAGTAAAGATCAACAGGAAAACACCAGATGCTTTTCCAACTATATCTACTGTATTTTCACTACATACTATGAACAGGACAAACCATGTTTGACATGGTGGGGTCATAAACAAAAAAGTAGCAGAGAAAAAAACTTCACTACACTAACTGCTCCAGTGTAAGACAATATTATTACCACAGGAAAAAAACACCCCTTTATTCTGCAAAATCTTTTACCTTAAATGTTTGTCAGGTTTGAGCAAAGTGTTGATGCGATTGACTATCCAGCTGAAGAGGCGCCCATACAGGGCTTTGGCCATGGCATCTCTGACATCAGTGGCTTTTTCCACAGTGTTGGGACGAATAATTGTTTCTCCTCGAGTCACTACACAGTGAGAGGTGAGGGCCTCTTGCAGTTCATCTGCCTGAATACACAGCAGGGATGCACCTGGGAAGGAATGTCACAGGTATAGCTCAGACAGATTTTGGAAGGTGACTATGTTAGAAGTACCCAAGTCGAGAGGTGTGAATACCCCTCTCAGTTATAACCCACTCATACAAGTCACTGCTGTTCTCTTTTTGCTCCAAAAAAGGGATATTTCTTTCCCAGTTCCACAATATTTTTCTATGGCAAGGAAACATACAAGAAGATGGTGAGAAGACTTAATTTTTTCCCAGGTGTAATTATTAAGAAAGTGCACCAAATTTCTGGAGAACCTTTGCCTCTCTGCCTCCTCTACCTCCTAGCAGCTTATAATGTAAGGAATTCCTTCTAAAGAATTAGTGAGCCATATTTCCACAGGCAAATGTGGGGAACATGGAATGAGCAACTGAGAAAGAAACTGGGAAAAAAATGCTCAATGTGTTAATGAAGTTCTCCATCAAATGTTCAAATAACCTTGGAAAAATTCCAAAGATTTTTTTCAGGCATCTGCAGTATTAGTCATGTTTCCTGTATGCCAGTGCACTGGTTAGTCAAATAAGATGCATAACATGGAAATTTTTTTATTTTCTGCATTTGAATTCAGGTGGGCTTAGAATTAATCTACTTTCAGTTTTTAATTATTCTTGCAAAATTTCCATGTGAATACAATTTTCATTGATACCTCTCTTACTATAAAATAAATTTGCTATAAAAATACTAAAGAAAAAAATAGTTAAGAAAAAACACTCACAGTTTTCAAGGGCTACAGGATTGGAAATGTTGCTCTTGTCAATCATATGTTCAGATACTACTGCAGAAAATTCAATGTTACCCACATTTAAAATGGCAGCCAGGACACTGTACACACTTCCAAGTTCCTGAAAAGTATATTAAAAAAAATGCAACACTTAATAGCCAGGTAATTTGTCTCTGTGCTTTATGCCATGGGCATATGTGTGTGTTGTTTCCTGCTGTCTGCTATGTGCCCACTACTTCTAGGGGTGCTGTTCCAGTAATTATTCCCATTCTGTACTTAGCAAAGTCTTTCAAGAGTAAAACAGACAAAGAGGGCAAGACAAACCATAGCCTAACTTCTCTTCTCTACTTGTTGACAGGACAGAGCTGACCAGAAGTAAGGAAATCAAAAACAGTGGTGTGCATACCCTCTTACATAGAAAGAATTCAGAGGTTATTTATATCTACACTTCGCTGTGCCTGCAGGTGTAAGCATGTCTAAAGATTTAATACCTAGATTAACAAAAAATAGAAAAAAATCTGTATTGATGTTTCTTGCATCATGGAAACAAAGGTACTCCAAATAATAGGTCTATATCATCTCCCACCCATGTCATCAGAAAAAGTTTCTCAGGGAGAAGAGTGAGGCCTCACACCTCCAATTTGGCAGAGCACTTTATCCTTCAAAATGTCAGTTAGGAACTCACCAAAGAATCTTAATGTGGACTTTGCTTAAACAAAACTAGATTTCAAATTATTTAGGAGGTTCTGCCATGGTTTAGTTGCTAAGGTGGTGTTAGGTCATAGGTTGGACTTGACGATCTCAAAGGTCTTTTCCAACCTAGTTAATTCTGTGATTCTGTGAAAAGGGACTCTGTCATGAAAAAGGCTGTTATTACTTTGGACAGTGAAGTGATATACAGTCAATATACACAAATACATAAATTTAAAGTAATATTTGGAATTAATAAAATAATGCTTTCATTGCAGGTTGGACTTGGATTTTAGCTGCAAATTTTCATCTGAACAGTGAATGTTTATCATTATACCTGATGATCTGAGTGTTTTTTATTCAGAAAATTCTAGGTGTACCTGTAAAGCAGACTAGCAGTCTGTGACATTGTATTTTGAAGCATAGCATGTTTTATAAATAGCAGGTTGAAAACTTTCGTAGCAGTTTTATAAGAAGCAGTTCTTAAAATCTGATTGGAATTTTTTAACTATGAGCTTTTTATAATTGCACAGCATTTTATCCATATTATTCAATACTTTGCTGGTACCATGTCAGGCATCATTTACTCAGACAAAATCTCTAATTGCTCTAGAATACGTGAGCTTGTTTTCAACACTTTCAGAAGTTAATCTAGCAGTTAATAAATAGTGATTCTAGTGACAGCAAGACAAACTGGATAAGCTCACTCTAAAAAATTATGCTGAGGATAATTGGCACACAGTTTACTTAGGATTAAGCACTCATTTTCATTTTAAGCTTAGGGACACAGCTGAAATGCAAAGAAATGGATAGCTTAACTTCTGCCATCATGCTGTACAATATATATAGCTGCTGACATTTTTCTGCCCTTTTCCAGTGTGTTTGAAATCTGGCTTGATCTGTCTCATACAACATAATTATTGTTCCCCTCAGGCAGTCCTTTCTTAATATTTTTGCTGTGCAGCCTGAAATAAAACTGTGACTTTTAGACAGAGAATACTGACAGTAGTTACTTTTAAAGCCTGTCAGTCAGTTAAAAGCAAATTTCAAAGAAATAAAGCTTTGTTTAGGTCTCGGTTTTAAGAAGATTTTTCCTGTCCATAGCTTTCTGCTAATAAAACACTGAACATGCTTATATAGAAATTCCTCTTTGCACTGGGATGATTGTCAAAGCTTAAGGCTGAACTACTAAAAAGTGAACTTAGGAAAGGGATTCAATGTCCTATGGGGTATTTTTTTCACTGAAAAAAAATTGTCTTTGCACACGTATCCAATATCAGAACGTCAGTCAGGGAAGAAGACTCTTCCTTCATTCCAGCAAGCACAGCCTCAGACAGGTTAATTCACCCTGAGAGAGATGTAAGGCAGGCTGACATGGCTGGGGCTCACAAGTAGCCACAAGCAGATTGCCTGTGGCACTCAGCCTGCTTCTGAAACTGCAGGGTTCTACAGGTAGATAATTCTCCACAGAATCAGCTCCCAGTGGCTTGCTGAGTTAATCAAGTGAAGATCCACGCTAGAACTACACAATACAGCCAGTGACCTGGCTATAAATGCATCTTCAATGTACATGGAAGGCCTCTTTTGGATGATCAAGATTATTGTTTCTACACATACAAGTGAACAAAAGAACTGGAAACAAAAACAGCCTTGCTGCTTTTCATGCTTTAAATTAGGACTTATCAAGGTCTCTGGTGCTGTGACAAAACTGCTATCAATGCTGAACCATGAATGTCCTTTCATGCTGCTTCTGAAAGGTGAAAGCACAAGTGAAAGGAAGTGATAGTACAGGTGTGATATTACTAAATGCAGTTGTGAATAACACATAGAGGAGAAAGAGACTGTGAATGCCACTGCTACTACAACCTAATGCAAAGTGACTCTGGAGGAACAAAATAAGTGAATACATCTGTTCTGCTAGCTATTTCAAATATTTACATTGAGGTAAGCCAGAAACAGTCAACTGAAGTGAGCAATTTTCTGTGAAATGCTTCTTACCACATACAGTTTTGTCAGAGAAATGAAAACATACATCCATTCTGCAGCACTAGTCCTGAATTTCATGGATACTGTATGGATCATACCTCTACTATTTATATTGTTTATAAATAAAGTCAGAGACAAATGACACCTGTGATGCACCAGTTCTTGTAAGGCAAAACTAGGTCACAGGATAAGATTTCTTTCCTTTACAAATTCAATAATTTTTAAATTTTAATTCTACCAAAGACTAACTGAGGAGAGGGGTTTAACAGCTAGCTGAACAATGATATGAGATCAAAAAGAAAAAATGGGTTCAGTTACTGTTTAGTGATGAGATTCATCTCCAAAGGGATTTAAGAACTTCATTCAACTTTATCCCCAGAGCTGTGAAAATGTATTGAGTTCATCAATACTCAAATCAGCTCAATGCATTTTTAGAACTCTCACCATGGACTTCCTCTTAAAACTGAGATGAGGCTCATATTCACAGGCCTAAAATTATTGGCTAATAAACTGTTACAGCATAATTTTCTATGCATTAAATTTGTTAAAGTCTTCCCCCCCAAATTACTCAGCTGTGCTATGTTCACTGATTTCAAAGCCTTGATGGCTAATATAATCTTATTGGTTTACCAATGCCTTGAAATCTTAAAAATGAAATGTTGCTATATAACAGTAAGTTGACCATGCAAGATCCTAAAACATAAACACAATATGCTAAAGGAACAAGGGAGATTTGAATGCTTTATATAAGTTTTTCCTGATTAAGGTAGCTGGTGAAGTTCACAAATGAAAAGGGTTATCAGCACTCACCTCCAGTGTAAAACCTATGACTTTGAAGCACTGTTCTATTAATTCAAACTGAGACTTATAAAAGCTATTGTTCATGAAATCTTGCACTATTCTGAAATGATCATTTTGCAGATATCTGAAAGAGTTGATGGATACAGAGTTAGAATGTAAATGAGGCTGAGAATTCAACACCACCTTTCTTAGTAATCAATTTAGGCAAAAATAAACTGCATTACCTGGGAGGTCTACATTCTGGCAGTTTATAATGTGCCAGTTTTTTCTTTTCTGCGAGACCAGCATAAATATAATAAAAAATATGGAAATTTTTCTCTCCTCTGAAACAACAGAAACAACAAACTGATTTAATAATACAAGCATGCTACATATATTGATGACACACATACTATCACTAAACGCTATTTTAACAACAGGCAAGACTCACACAAAGTGACAGAGGACTCTGAAAGAAGCATTATTACACCCTTTTCATGCCATTGTGTGCTTGTCCTGACACTGCCAGGGTGGCTGCTCAGTGCTAAAGGAGTGCTGCTCTGCCCTTGATGCAGTTGGTAGATCCTGCGTGAGATCTTGCACATTCCTCACCCACCCACACTGAATGGGCTGCTTAACTCCAACTATTTTAAAAAACCTTCTGACTGTGGGAGAGGTATATGCTCTTGGTTCACTGAGTGCAGTAGGTCTGTTGTATTCTTTTGGCCCTGAACCAAGAAGTAGACATTCAGCAAAAAGGACTTATGACTTGGCATGCTTTGCCTAGATGATACATGCCCAAACCTAGGACAGAGGTTTATTACATATTCAAGTGTGCTCCTTATGAGAAGAACTAGGTGAATATTTGCAACCATAACTGAGCCCTGAGTTGCCCAAGTCAGTCACTACTGAATGGCAAAAAGGAGTTGTGTTCAAACCCCTGCTTTGTGCATAGGCTTAGATTTATGTCTCAGGGGCACCATTAAATCATAGAACCATAGAATGGCTTGGGCTGGGAGGGACTTTAAGGGTCATCTAGTTTCAACTCCCCTGTCATGGGCAGGGACACCTTTCACTAGACCGGGTTGCTCAGAGACCCCATCCAGCCTAGCTTTGAACACTTTCAGGGATGAGGTATCTCAGCTTCTCTGGGCAGCTTGTTTCAGTGCCTCACTACCCTCACATTAAAGAATTTCTTTCTAAAATCTAATCTAAACCTACTTTCTCTCAGTGTAAATCAGCCCCTTATCCTGTCACTACATGTTCTTGAAAAAAATCTCTCTCCATCTTTCTCGCAGGCTCCCTTCAGGTAGAAGGTAGCAATTTGGTCACCCCAAAGCCTTATCTTGTCCAGGCTGAACAATCCCAATTTTCTCAGCCATTCCTTGTTGCAAAGGAATAATAATAATAAACAAAACACTGAACATGCTTATATAGAAATGCCTCTTTGCACTGGGATGAATGTCAAAGCTTAAGTGCTCCATCCCTCCAATAATCTTGGTGGCCTTCTATGGAATTTCTCCAACAGGTCTACATTTCCTGTAGTGGGGACCCCAGAGCTGGATGCAGCACTGCAGGTGGGGTCTCACCAGAGCAGGGTAGAGGGACAGATTTCTCCCCCTGACCAGCTGCCCACACTGCTTTTGGTGCAGCCCAGTGCACGTTTGGCTCTCTGGGCTGGGAGAGCACATTGCCGGGTCATGTGCAGCCTCTCACCCACCAGCACTCCCAAGTCCTTCTTGGCAGGGATCTTTGACCCATAATCCTCTATAAACAAATCCTACTAGATGTTCCAAAATGGAAAACGACCAAACAAATAAAGAAATAGGCTACAATACTACAGGAAATTTAGAGGAATTAAATCCAAGTGATATACTTAACACAATAACCCAAAATCCCACAATGAAATGTACACATGAACTATTAATTAGTTTCTAATTCTTTGCACATTCTTATTTTATATATCACATGGGCATTTATATAAGATTTGTTAAAATAACCCAGGAAGCAATGAAAAAAATCTGGAGTAGTTTTCAGCTAGCTTCCAGATTCATAAGCTATCCATATACAACTTTTAAGGAAAAAAATCTAGGTAACTCATTCATCTTTGTGTTTTGAACCATGGTGATTTACTGCATCATAGGCCTACTATGTAACTCCCAAATTAGATCAAATACAATTTTCATACTTACACTGCCTGGTGGACAACTCTGGATTTTTCAAGGAGGTACTCTGAAATCTGAGCTCCTACTACAGTGCCACCACAAGTGAATTTCATTTCCAAATATTTTCCAAATCTGCTTGAATTATCATTGATGATAGTGCCTGCATTACCAAATGCTTCTACAAGGTTGTTCACCTGGAGAATCTTCTCCTGCAGAGTCTTGTTATTAGCCTGGATATGAAAAAGATATTGCTTCAAATTATCAGTGATTATTCAAATTCATGCATTTTTAGGTGTTCCTTGAATCTTCTCATTGGTATTGTGAAGTGCATTGTGAAGTGTGACATAATCAGGGCACCTATTCCCATGGAAATTATATGGAGAAAAAGAAAGGCATATATATATATATATATAAATATATATATATATAAATATATATATATATATATATATATATATATAATTAAATCTGTGAAAATATAGCAATCCTCAGAACTAAGGCTGTTCTGGAAGAAATTACACACATAATTATAACAACACTATAAACTAATTTCTATGGTTTCTGTGGTTTTGTGGCTCTGAGATGGCCAATCTGCTTTTAGGATCTTTGTTAGCATCTGGTTACTGCTCCACTGCACCATACCAATCAATTAACTTGCTTTTATCTCATCTTGGCATGCGAAAAATGGCATTTTATTTAGACAGTTATGGCCACCACTTCCCAGAATGACTATGTCCCACTGGCAGCAATCTGGTTGTGGAAGGATGAGAAGCTAGAAGAGGATTTTATTTAGTACTGCTTGTGTAACTTGAAGGCACTCAATTAAACAGGGATCTGACTAAGTCACAACCCTCATTGCAGTGATACTTTTTTTTGTGGAAACCGCAGTGTATTTCCAAGTGACCCTGGGAAGGAGGAAGGAGTAGACAGATTAGCATCATGTTCTAATGTTCTTAGGAAAATGTGTAACAGTCTCACCCCACAAGCAATGCCCTGTCCATAGGTTCAGCCCTTTAGACCCAGGATAGCAAAGCCCTAAAGCCTTACAGGGATATCCCCTCTGCCACTTACCTTGCCGAGGACAGTGAGCTGCTGAACCAGCAGATGGGCACTCTGTGTCTTGCCAGCTCCACTTTCTCCAGAAATAACAATACACTGCAGAGAACAGAGCAAGACTGAGCTCATCACATATCTCTCAGCTGGCAGAGGATGTAATTAGACACCTCATCCATACCTGATCAGAGTTGTATGTCACCATGGACTGATAGCCTATGTCAGCAACAGCAAAAATGTGAGGAGGGTTGGCAGTCCGTTTGGCTCCAATATACAGTTTGGAATGCTAAGCGTAAGAAAATAAAATTATTATCACTGTCCTTTAAAAACTTGGGTTTTTTAAAGTTTGGTTTTATTTTTAGATTAGTGTACAGCATGCTGAGGTTTCCAGCAGTGTTGTTTTCTGAGGGAGCTGTTACTGCACTCACTATACCATGAATCTGTATATACTTAGGAATATAAGAACTGCTAAAACAGGAAGTGCAATTTTCTATAATTTTAGCCCTGATTACACTATGAAATTCAATTTATTAGAAGAAAATTTACTGTTGTTAGACATCATAGTTCCAACTTATTTAAAATTATTTGTGCTTCCCTTCCTATTAGTATCTCTACATGGTGTTGATCTTAAAACTTGAGATCTTTTCTGTATCTGTAGTATCTGATAATTAATAACCCCAAATTATTGTATGATCCGACTTTAATGTCTTTCCCCTTTTGTATAATAGGGAGACAAATTCCTTTTTGAATAATAAGGAGACAGATTTCACAGAAGTTAATATTTTACAGGATTGCTTTCTGCATGACCTACACTGTAGACATAAAGACACTAGAAATTAATTATTTTTGAGTTTCTCATTTCTGTGCTGAAATTCAGCAAGTGTTAATTAAGAATTTGTGTCAATGTGCACTAGAAAGAACATCTCTACTGGTAATTCTGTTTTTCAGAGTAAGCTAAAATAAATCTCAAGAATGGTCTTACTTTATTCTTAACACAAATATTTATATTTTAGTGGAATTTGATGCTAGTTGAAAATAACAAAACCTAAATTTTCACACCTGTGAAGAATAAATATCTATGTTCCGAAATGGATTGACAGCGATGAGTATGTCCCCAACGTATGTGTAGATCTGGTCCTTGGCATAACCCTTCTGCAACTGTTCCGTTACTGTATTCTGATGGAGAGGGAATAGGATCCGTGAATCACATGGCGGGGAAAAGAATATTAAGAAAATGTATTAAATATTTATATAATTTCAATGAGAGAGGATGGGGAAGGAAGGTAGTTATAGTCTGGAGTACAATGGAACATGATCAAAAGTAAGTAATATCTTCAAACACACTGGCATTTCTAATTTTTTGTCTTTGAATAATACATACTTACAGATCCTCAAATGGCTGTAGAAAAAGGAGTTAATAAGTACTGCTTCCATTCAGTTCATCAGAGGTTTCCATGAGACAGTCTTGTCTACATTTCTACTACTAAAGTTTCATGTAACTTATCAAGCAAGATATTGAGTCCATAACAGCTGCTCTAACATTACTCTCAGTTATGATACAACACAGATGTTCAACTGTTTCGTCCCCAGTAATGTAAACAATTAGGCATCTTTCCCTATTAACAAGCAGTCTCTGCTGTGATTGTTCTTTGCTCGTGTAGAGCCAGTTCCCCCTGAACCAAAAGAAAGAAGGGCCCATTAGTGGCATTCAAATTTCTTGATGTAATTTCCCTCAGCTTCCTCTTGCATACACAGCTGGGTATATAAAGTGCCTTGTTAGGTTTCCAATCAAAACAGGCCACAGAGCTGAATGAAGAAATTCAAACCAGCCTTGAGACTAACCTGGGGTACATGTGAAAATATTTAGGCTCCATACCCACTGGAACAGACCAACTGGCAGCAGAGGACAACAGAAGGAATTTCTTTCCTTCCTCATCTATCTATTCACAGTGTTGTACATTGTGTCCTGTTTAATACACATACTAGCCGAATTCTCACCAGCTGCAGAGGCTGTATTTCCTTCATGAGAAAACATAAGGATAAAATTTTGATAAACTTTCTGGTTTAGAATGCTTTCTTTTCTTTTGGCCAGAACAAGATTCATGTTACAGAATTATTTCAGGGGAACTTCTGCCCTTTCTGAAATTACTTCTTGCACCAATAGAAGGTCTCTTGTCTTTCTCATATGATGGGGCTATCTAAACTGTAAGAAAAATTTGAGTGGAAGAAAGAATACAATTCTGAGAAGCTACCATTCATACATGAAAGTGGTTTTAAATTGGATTTGATTTAGTAAAAGCACATAGTCAAACAATGCATTTAGACAGAGGCTTCCTGAGGATTTCCATGAATGCTTCACCTCTGAGGAGATGGGATATGTACCAGTTTGTCTGCTTTTTTTATGTAATAAAATCTCTTTATCTTCTATTGTTTGTATGTATCATGGTAAAAGGAAAAAAACCCAAAAAGCCCACAACAGTCTTACTCTTCCCAATACTAAAAATGCTTAAACATGAACTTTGTCCAGTAGATGAATATTGTGTTAGTTCAATTACAATTAACTAAACATCAAGCTACTATAACAAAGCTCTTAGGAAGATGGAGGATGTTCTGTGAGCTTTCAGCATGATACAATTTATCAGCTCAAGTGCCACAATGAATATTCTGGACTGCCAAAAGTACAATATACCAGAGAAGATTTGTGAATGTGAATTATAGTCAATGCACAGCCCAGTAGATGAAGAATGACAGTTTGTTTACAACCAGTGATGGCCTCCAAGACCTGCAGATAATGTGCTACAGCCTGATTCTTCTTTCTGGTTTTCAAGCTTAAAGCATAAACACAGCAGATTTCCTCCCTCCCTTATGTCATGTTTCCCTGCACCCAGTGGACTAATTTTTGAACTTTGACAAACCAGTGGTATTTGTATCAGTAATTTGGTCAAAGGCTTACCAGCAGGCATTGACACATAAGAGGCTCAGCTGACATAAATGAAACCTCATGCATTTCTACACCAAAATAAGTTAATTAGAACCCAGTCTGGGAGAGTATGGTGAGCTAGTTTAAGACAACTCTTGGTGTTCAAGCAACAGGGCTGGAAGGTCTTGGACCTAGACCAATTTCAGGTTAACACACCACTGCAAACTGGATACTTAGCTGTAATAAAATCCAGTGACATAAATCCTGTTTAGGCAATGGCGTTAGCTTTGAGTTGGAACATTTCTTACACAGTAAATCTTGTCTAAAATATTTGGCATAAAGTGGTGAAATGTCACTGTACACTTACACAACTGAAGTGTGAGAATACAGTTGATTTTGAAGATCAACAGCACACCATTTAGTATTGATTTGTGATTTAATATGTGATTACTCCTCTTCAGAAAAACAGGAAAAAAGAGGTTCTTACCTCATCCAGTACCTCCAAGGTTGCTAAATCATCTACCTCTTCTTGGTTTGAAACTAGTGACTTACTGTAGTTCCCTTTCTTTGTGTGAATACGTTCAAATCTAGAAAAGAAGAGATACAATCTCCTGACGTAAGGAAACAGAGCAAATCTTGCATATGCAACCATCTCGGAGGCCAAAACATTCTAGCTCTCCATTGTTCTAAATTTAAACACACAAAAAGGTTTGAAAAGCAGGACAGGAGTCAACTCCTTGGTACAGCACACCTGTACCTGACAGTTCAAATCTATGATTTGATCCCAGAACTGCTACCATGAAGAACTTTGTCACTTTATAGATCCCTGCTTAGATCACACTCCTACATCAGCTGCAAGACAGGAGCTTGGCAATACAAGTTAAAAAAAAAAGAACGCATTTATAAAGCATGTAAGAGAGAAACTCTGGCACCAACATGCAAAAAGATCCTGCAAACAGTTATGTATAGGACAAAACCAGAGGTGTATGATGAAATAGTACAGCAAAGATGATGCAAACAAAGCACTCAGGATGGAAACATTTCTAGCTTAGCAATAACAGTGCTCTAAAGTCTGGCTGAGATGACCACACTATAGAGCAAAGTGCTACAGAACCACTGGGGTAAGTGAAATACATCTTGACCAAATTTTCTTGGACTCCCTAGGAGAAAAAGTCATACATGAGAAGGAAAAAAAATTTCAAATATCTTTCTTATCAGTTAAACTTCAAGTTTAACTTTAAATTTGTCTTAGATTTCTCCTTCAATCAAACCATAAACTCAACTTTATGCAGCCTTATTTTAATTAGCAAGAAAAATCCCAGAGTCTTGGATCATTCTTTATCCAAGAGTAAAGGCATTGCTAAATAGAGCAAATATAGCAGAGAATGCCAGATTTACAATTAGTTATACTTGTTTTGTGAGATGAGGGAAAATAAGGGAAAGAGAAACTGCATAAGTAACAGCAGAGTTCACAAACTAAATCAAGCTCAGATATGTAGTAAGGCACAAGCACAGAAATACTATTAAGTAATTCTGATCTCCTGATATGACCTCGCTCCCTTTGATGCAACTGGTGGGAAGGCACCTCTCAAACACAAGGAACCCTGGTAAACTGAGACAGCCAGTTGTGTGAAGCACAGCCAAACTGTTGTGTGAAGCACAACACTCACTCTTTATCTTAATCCCAGACAAGACCAGGGAAATTCTTTAATTAATTTTGATATTTGGATATATGGCATAGGTAAAAGTAGTTTTTTACACAGGTAAGAATACAGTGAACAGATGACGGAAAAAAGAGTGTAGTCTCACCAAGATGGAAAGTTAGAGTGAGTGAGCATCACACAGATGTGGAAAACTGAACACCCACAGATTTACTGCATATTTAATGGGCTGTACCTGTTCCATGAACATCACCTAGCTCATGAGTGCTGCTTCAGATCATGCTGGCTGTACACTGAAGAGGGATGTTGGTGCAGAAACTCAAGCAGGCACCAACTTGGTGCAATAACTAACTGCCAGGACTGAAAAGGGAGTGGAAGAAACAGGAAATTATGCCCTCCCAAACTGTAAGTGCACTCACAATCTGGATGATGGAAATCCAGACAGGAGTGCACTTCATCTATCACTTCTTTCAATTTCTCTTGTCTCTATCATTCCTTGAGGATGACAGAATGGCCGGTCCTCATCCTGGTGCCAGTTTCTTCCTTTTTATACAGGTGCCAGGTACCACTAGAGTTTTTTAATTGTCCACAATGTAAAGGCAGGAGCTTCACACCCATGGCTAACTAATTCTGCAACTTTAATATCTAGATACATATATAAGACTTCCTTGCAAGAGCTACCATAGTTTCACAGTTTCTGTGCCAAAAATCACAGCACAGTATCCACAGTGAGACAGCTAAGTCACCAGGAAGCAAAATGAACCAGAGGACTGACAGGATCTACATTATCCTAGGTTTGACCTATTCTTCCCTTTCCTTTGGAATCCAGTTTTACCAAGAGACCTGTCCTGTCCTTGCAACAACAATATGAGACCACTTTTGGTAGCATGTACCTCCAGGTTGTATTAAAGAAGAGGTGGTAATATAAAGATTTAATTTAACTCCTCAGCCTTACATAATCTGCTGCTGTTTGATTTGCATTTGGCAGCTAAAGGACGTTACTGAATCCAAAGTCAGAGGTGCAGACAATATCCTACCCTCTCAATAGAAATCCATCCCCTCTATAATTCACACTCCTATTTATGCCTCCTTTTAAAAGGTTCATTTGAAAAAAGTTAAATTTGGACAGCTGAAACGTTTTCTCCTTTGTACCTGTATGAAGGTTGTTTTGTGTCCAGAAGATGCATCTAATATCAGCGTGACTTTGAGAGAGAGCTATCAATATGCACACAAGGGAAAGATGTGGCAATTGCAGGACTATGTCAAGCTCTACTGTTCTGTTTTTTCTGTTGCTGAAGAAAGACCCTAAGGAAAACATCTGTCAAACTTTGCTTTCCATTTCTGGTGGAACTGTTACACATTGAACACTTTTTTTTTTAATATGTTAGATCTTAAATGTTACTACATATCAGTGAGAGAGTGGTATTTCCCAGGATTAGTTTCAATTACCATTTTTCATTTAATGTAAGAAACTAACACAATTGCTGTGCAGGAAGGCAGGAGAATGCTCCAGTCATGGACACTTTTCTTTTTTCTATTTTTTTTCTTTGAAGGAAACAGATCTCTGTGTATGCCAGGAAAGTTTAATTACATAAAATCGATCCTTCTGTAATCCTCTTCAGCTGACATTATGAGAACACTAGCGTCTGTTGGACTAGATTATATTCTCCATTCTCCAGAGTACATAAGAGTGGCAGATTTGCAGAACACTATATTTTTCCACTTTGCTGTCAAAGGGCACAGACCCCTCAAGGGCAGTTATACTGCTTCACTCCAACCACTTAAAAAAATCCCACGTCAGTGCTGTTGACATCAGTGCTGAAGTTTCATTAAGATCATGCACATAGACATTGTGAACTGAAATAACCATGTATCTCTGCTCTGCTCAAAAATATATTGGAGGCATTGGATTTTACAAGCATGCCCGACAAGCAATTCAGGCAGCTAAAGGCGAGAAACTTCAGTGCAGTAAGGACAAGAAAATGAGTCAAGGCAGCATTGTTTCTGTGCATTCTCAATGCTCCCCTCCCCCTACTTATCTTTCAAGAGTCAGTTAAATCAAAATGAAGCAACCACAGCTTTTCTTTTTCAAATTGTCAGAATGTATTTAAAAGATTTCTGATAGTTCCAAAAATACCATGAAAAGGAAAGTGTGACTCATGATGCCCTGCTGAACTCTCTGCCTAAACTGGTTAAAGAATCATCTACAGACTAAGAAGTGACAGGAAAAGGGTTGGCATTAGTCTGAGTGTAAAGAAGAAACTAAAAATAATGAAGTTTTTGTAAGGTGAAGGTGGAAACAGCTGTACACCTCCCAGAAGTTACAAAGAGCAGTAAAATGACAAAGAGGCAACATAGAGAAACCTCTACAGGATCTGTCATTGCTGGTGATTCTAATTGTCTGGAGGCTGAACACAGCAGTATTAATTCACACTTAAAATAATTTTTTTTTTCTTCACAGATATAGCTTGTGAAATCTGTTTAAATAAAACTACAGTCTGCTATTATGAAAAATTTGTACCTGACTTACAAAGTGTAACACTTCAGTGATAAGCCTCCAGCTGCATCTGCACAATGCTTTGCAGACAAACCTGTGCTCCCCTCTGTATTTAAATGATTGACAGCACTGAGACTACAGGCTGCAGTCTCAGGGAGCTGTGTTGCAGCTCATGCAATGCTTCTGAGAGCACACTGTTGCCCTGCAGAGCTATGGGGCTTTTGATTCAAAGGTGGCCTGTGCCCAGCTCTGCACAATCTGTTTAACAAAGTTCGTGATGCTTTTCCACGACCTGTAAATAAAGCAGATTATTATTCCTTCACAACAGCCTCAAGAAATCGCTGTATCCCTGACTAATTTCAGGCAGACGTATGTATTCTTAACTGAGCAAATAGGGGATCTCTAAAAGGACTCTGGGACTGGCTCCTCATGAGTCACTCCCACACACTGTGCTCAGAGCCATACTGAGACGATAAAGGGGAAGCTCCATGGGTATGAAGTGCCTGCTGAAGTGTCCCACCTTCAGGAGAAATAAGCTGCTGAGCAAGTGGACTGACACAACAGTACAGTACCACTTGCAGTGCATTTCTCCTGAGGAGTTCTGAATGCAGGAGGAACATCTTCCTCCTGTTTTCTTCATTCGGGCAGTGCTGTTGTCCATTGTGTTATATAGAAGAACATTATTCAGATATAGAGATGTGTTTCAGCTATGGGACTGGAGATCTGTTTATTCTAAGGCCTTTGTTCCCAGAACTCCCTACTGCCTCTACAGCCTGAGAGAAGTTTGCAGCACAGCCAGCCCTCCTACATAGGAGAGTCCTCAATGCAGAAGCACACACTTCTTGGTATAACAAAGGTCACACTGAGTTCCAGGAAAGGAAGAACTGGCCTCAAGGGATCAAAGATTGAACTGGAATTCCAAAAACCCCATTTCAGCCACTACTCCCATTCAGATATCTTCTAGAGACCTTGGCCAAGACAGCACTGGACTCTGTGTGTACTATCTTGTACCGCTTCTTATATTGTCTTTGTCACACCAGCATGGTGATCTCCCATCCTCTCCTTACAGCCTGCCCTGCAGAGCTGAGCTTGAAGGATTGCTGTCAGCTGCTTTCCACTGGCAGCATGAGTCAGAGAGATTGGGACAGAGTGAACACTCAGCAAATGGGTGACACAAGTTTGTGTAATCAGGAAAAGTCACAAAAGGAAACTTTATGGTACTCCCTGCTTTTAATAGGAGTCAATAAATTGACAACCACCTTTGTGCATGTTGTACATGAACTTCCATGAAATTATCTCCCTGGCCTTTCCAAACAGTTACATAGAGCAACTGTTTAGTATTCTGTTACTGATTTCAGTGCCAACCCCATATGGCCAATACAGGAGGACAAACGCCTAAGAAAATAATTCAGCTCACCTAAAATTTTGCATCATTTTGCAGTAGAATAGGTCTCCTTCCCATAATTACTCAGAGTATATAAAGATAACTCTTAATCTGGGGACCAGAGTAATTTGCTGAAATCTAGGTACATTGAATACCCCTCGTATGTACAGCTCGTTTCTGGAATGACTCACAAGTCCCAGAAAATACACAATGTACTAATCATTGCATATTTCCACAGAGATTATTGTAAAAGCAGTCAAGAAGAAGACAGCCGAACAATTCAAGATAAAAGTCTTACAAGCTTGACTGTCAGGTGTAGATGCGACAGTTCTGAAGGTTGTTTCAAAGACAGCTATTTCTGTTGCAGAGTAAAATTCTTTACAATGCAGGGATTTTTCCCCTCTTTTGACCTAGCAAGAAGTGTATTTTTAGAACTGTTTTGGAGTATATGCTGCAGTACTAATTTTTAATAACTATTTTCATCACTAATTGTGTATTTTAACAGCTATACTGCTATACTGAAAGCCATTGTCAACCTCAGGGCCCCTGTCCTGAAAGTGACTTTCCTCACAAAAAACCCACCAAAATTAATTGTGCTTAGTATGCAACTTTGCCTGCTTCACATCTTCTCTAATGTGAACTTAACCCATATAGTATATCTCATACAGCATATTTGATAATATAGCATATATAATATTCCCAGCAGCATATTTTAAAGATGTTACAGTCAGGATGCTATGGGAAAATGCTAATATATTAAGGGATATTTTCTCCTGCTATTCCCATTCTTGTTTCAGCCTGAGTTCTGAGCTAGGAAAGGTTAAGTTGCAAATAGATATTTTTAGCATAAAAAATTATGATTTTAGCAAAAAATGTACTGCATTTGCTCAAAGTAAAAAAGTGGAATTTTGAATGAAGGTCATTGCTAATATTCATGCTTTTTGAGTCTTGAGTAGCACAAGATTCTAGCACAAGTGCTAGAACACTGCTCAAAGGCTACTGAAAAACTACTATTACCTTCTATCACTTTGATTAAACCTGGAAACAGGCTGTGGCACATTGCCATCTAAAGTTTTATCAGTGTTAGTTGAGATTTCTCTCGTTAGTCAGGCTACCTTCCTCTTGTTTCTATTTTTCCACCTCTTGAGAGGATGCAGTAAAATGCAGGAACTAAACCTCGGTTTCTCTTCACTAGAATAACAACACTGGGAAGATTCTGAGGGCCCTCGTGACTCGGTGACTCCTCGGTGTTGGAAAATACCTCAGGAGCAATGGTGCTGATGGGAGAGACTTCAGGGTGGCTCCACTCCATGCCTAGATTACACATCCTTCCTGAGCACACACAGTGCACAAGGATCAGATCTGAGGGTAAGGCCCTCTGCAAAAATCCCATAAGAATGTGACATAAAGTTGTGAGCTTTTCTTTTTGAACTGTACCAATGGCACATTCAGCAAACAGCAAGGTAAGATCACAAGCACATCAAAAGACTGCTGCTGCAGAAAGCAGTCAGAACCAAATGGCACCTCAGCCCAATGGGCTAAGAAGTTGACTTGATTTTGAGTGAAAACAGAAATAGTGCAACCAACAAAACCCAGTGGCTGGAGCTCAACTATTTTTTTTTTTGAAATACAAAACTGCAATAAATGAAGTAAAATTCGATGAGGAGAGTAAATGCATACAAAGAAAATAACTGGATTCCTAATTTTCAGCTTTAACTCAATTACCAAGTTTATTAACTTTATATTCCAATGCCCATTTATACAACACAATACAGGTAGCAGGATTTCTTCCCTCAGTAGAAGGAAAAGATCTTTAATCCCTTAAACTACTTGCCTCCCACTGTCACTCCCATTGTCAAGAAGGAGAGTTACGCCTTCAAATTAAGGACTGAGAGAGTGTGAGCTCTAGATCAGAAAGAAGTTTTACAAGAAAAGTTGCCAGCAACCACTGAAAGTTCAGAAATTTCACAATAGGACCCTAACACATCAGTGTGAGACACTGCTAGAATAGCATAAACAAGAACAGAGCAGCTCTTCCAGGGGACTTGTCACTATAACACTTATGTCTTGATTCTAAATCAGATTTACATGGTACTTCTGTACAGACATTGCTTTTAACACCTTTTGCTTTGTGCAGATTAAAGGTCAGAAGATACATATGATTAGTAATAAAAGACTTTTAAAAAAGCATGACTACTGAATTTAAAGATATTTGCATAATCTCTTATCATTGACAGCAGAAAAAAACCTACAAATGCTGTTCTGTAGTCAGTCTTACAGCGTATTTCACAAAACTACACAATCACAAAATCATTTGGGTTAGAAATACTACTTCCTAGTATTTTAAATTGCTAAACTGAAATATGGGCTTTGCTCAGTTTAACACTACCATTTCAATTACACTCTGAATTAAATAACTAAATTTTTTGCACAGATTCGAATAAGAAACTATGGGTTTTTTATTATTATTTTGAAAGAGAAAATTCTGTTTTCCTTTGGAAAATTTGATATAAAGGTTACACTTGATCAACTACAAAAGCATAAGAAACCTCATCATATAACTCTTAATCTAATTAGATTAAGATATATTCCATTAAATTCTTATGAAGACCCATCAGCTTATAAAACACAGTTTAAACAGCACAGAGAAAATACCAGTAGATCATCCTGTTCTTGTGCCACTTGACTGCTCTGTACACATGTAAATTGGGCCACCTTCTTTATGTTTCTATTGTACAGAAAATAAAAAAGTTCATGTAGTTTCCTTTATGAAGCATTTACATTAAAAAAATAGAGGAATTGGAAAAAAAGAATATGAAAACAAATGTGAGTTCTCTAAAATTGGTTAAAAAAATCACAATATCTGATTGAGTGAAAGCTTGATTTTTTTTCAAAATTGTTTAGGCTTTAAAAGGACTAATATCACAAGTGTTAACAATATTTCAATTCATATAACCTCGTGCTTTGGACTTAGTTTACCACATATAATTTCCCTGTGTTTTATAAATAAATGCTATTTAACATCTGAATTATGTTGCTGGTTTAGTGCTCAGCACAGACATCCAATAAGATTATTTTAATTCAAGAATATTTCTGGATTAAGCAAATGTCAAGTCTGCAATATATAGAGCATATAAATCCAGTTTGAAGCTTAAATGTAAGCCAAATGCATAGTTTTATACTTCAATGTCAGAAAAGAGAAAGCATTATTCCTCCCACATCCAATTAAAGTTGAAAAAATTTCAATATCATAATTATTTAGAAATATATTTTTATTATTATCTTCAAAGCATAGAGTAAACAGAAAATTCTCCAGAACTAGAACTGAAGACTGCTGTATAAATTGTTACTCTAAATGTGTGAAAGGAAATGTGGCAGATTTTAAAAAGCTTTTTCCACATAGATGATAATGCTCAAATGTCTTTTAATTGTCATGTTCTATAAAAAAAAAGTAAAAGCACTGTGCCTTTCCTTGAAGCAGGAGCAGTCATACCAGTAGTACCTCAATACTACTCTACAACATTTACATCTGATACATGAGTGTACTATATTGAGTTTTTTCAATCGTAAAAGTGAGTCAAGACATTTTAAAGTATTTTAAATAAAAGCCATCAGGTGTCAAGGGATTTATTCAGAATTGATATCACTTAGATGCTAGTGGAAGAAAGAAAGTTTCCATCCAAGAAGACAAAAGATTTGATGTTTGCAAAACACAGTCTGCTAGGATTATCAGTAATCTCAGTCAGAAACATCTGTTTCCTGCAGGAACCTGACTAGCTGATTTTAGCATACTGGCTCAAACTAAACATTAGCTGACCATGCAAATATATGAAAATGCCAAATATTAATTTAATCTAATATTAGCATCCTACAAGCTGGGGTCTAAGACTATATCCTGAGACATGGATGAAATGGGAGGCACTCCTAAAGATTGTTTCATCCCGTGTGTGAATCAAGATGCCTCTCTCTTTCAACTGGCAATACAGTACAAATATTAAGTTTTCTGGTTTTTTGCCATCTGAAGTTATAAGGTTGAATCTTTTTATGAGTTCTAGCCATTCTGAAACAGGAGAAGTATCAAAATTGACCCAACTGGTCCACTCTTTAGCTACTTTTACCTTGCCTTTTCAGTGACTCCCATTTGTTGGTGAACATCAATAAATTCCATGAGTTGCCTTTGTAGCACGTTTTCTTTTCCTTCAATTTGCTTAATAAAATCATGCTGCAAAAGAGTAGATACTGTTGGACGCTTCTCATAATCTTTAGTCAAGCACCTGTGCTGGCAGAAAAAAACATGATCATTGAGGGTTCACAGTTAAGTTTTGAAATGCTTGTCTGGAGCTCATTCATACCTCCATAATAAATGTATCTGTCTTAATCAAAACAGCTTTGCACTGAAAACTGATATGACTTCACAGAACTGATGAGTCCAAAAAGTCAAATTATTGCATTTTAAAACTAAATGTTCTTTAACTTAAAAAATCTCAAGGATGTTGAAATGCTATTTCATGTTTAAATACAGAGCCTCACTTGGAAGTCAAACTGGATTTACTAACTAGCCTTTTAGGGGAGAGTATTAGTTGCAACAGATTTCTACAAAACATATTTTACACGACATTTACACACATGCCGTATTCAACTGGAGTGGTCTCAGTTGTTACTCACTTGTTAATGAAGTCATTGAATTCAGGTGACCACAGTTCAGGCTGCTGTAGCGTTGGAGGAGGATTCCTGCAAAGGTCAGTGTACTGATAAGTTAATAAGCTACTCACTTGACAAAAACAATGTGTGAAGGCAGGCTGAGTAATGAGTTTTAGAATGCCACCGAAAAAAGATATTGATTTCCACTGGTAAAAGGAGCATGGGTAGATGATGCAATGCATCATTGGTTCTCCTCCTTTACATAACTAATAAGGAGAAATAGCATTAAGATGATCTACCAAGTATAGCTAAGAATCACTGTGATTTTTTTCAATCAAATCAATAAAAAGAAACTAAACTAACAACCCATTAATCACTATTCAGTTGTAATGGCAAGTTCCTTTTTTCAAGTCTGAAACAATATACTTAGAAGAAATTTAAAAAGGCAATTATATTTTAAGTTTTCTCAGAAGGACTGAATTAATCAACTTGCTGAACAAGGTGTCCAAAAGAATTGGTTCTTTATTAATTATTCCTCATTCCTCAGAAGACAAGCAGAAGTGAAGGTTTAAATATAAATCTATTGTAAATGGATATACTGCTTTCTTGTCTATTGTAGAGCTGTTTACTCTAGGTGCTAATTTAGTTGAAACAGTCTTGACAGACTTCTTCTATTCAGAGACATCATTTTCACTATGTTCATGAAGACAAAAGGAATGACCAGTCAAGAGACAAGGTGACTTACTGTCTCTTTTCAATCAACCATAACTCTTTTTCTTCAAGTGCTGCTTAATGTTTATTATTCTCAGGTTTTACTTAATGGAATGAAAGGGTATTGCTTGTATATTTGCTCCAGAGCAGAAAGGTGCCCAGTACTTGTAAGAGTATAAGCAAAAGGTTTCTTGAAGTCCTAGATGCAGTGACTGACCAAAATAGTTTGCAACTGCTTTTTCCATAGCAAGCAAAGGTAGGAAGACCATTCATACTCTGATTCAGTGCCAAGTCAGCCAAGATTTCTTAAATCTAAAGGTAATTTAAATTAATTTGGGTGTCTTGGCTGAAAAGGACTCTAAGCACTTATACATGCTATGTGGGGCTCAGCTATTGTGGTACTGCTCCAGTTCTTAGGATGAAATCCACAACTACAACTGTATGATCAGACTTGGAGATTGATGTTCTACTACTACAGACTAGGAGATTGATGTTCTTTGAAATGCTGCAAGTGGCACTTTGGGTACTTATATTTTCAACTTCAAAGCAAAAAACACAAAATAAGTTGCTATTTGCACTGACCAAGGACAGCAACACCGGAACTGCCAGAAACAGCACAAGATAATGAAAAGCTGAAGCCTAAATGTATGTGAGTGGGGGAACAACCTTTGCTTCAAAGGATAGAAGATAACTCCTGTAGACAAATATGGGACCTGGTCACCACAGTGGCATGAATATGACTCTGTATTTCTAGTATACGTCATTCTTTGTAACAGAATGTACAAGACTCAAGTAAGTTCTGTGTTCATGTGGCAGCAGCTCACTCAGGAGAAGGCCCTTTGACTTCTTCTCAAATGTAGCTACAGTCAGTTCTGAACTTTTCAATGTGCACACATGGTTAAAGCAGAGCCTGCAGAAGATATAACTGGGCAAAGTATTTTAAACCTACCTCCTAGTATAAATAATATAAAGAAAAGTCTAAGTTTGAAGAAAGCAAACTTTTGGGAAGCAAACTTTAAGGAAAAAGTTCAGTCTTTAACCTGTCAACAAACAAAGACATAAAGCTACTACCTTGGTATTTTGAAGAGTGCCCTCATGGGGTGCAAATCAGCAAGGGGTGGATCTCCATCTCCCAGCTCTATTGCAGTAATACCCAGTGACCATGCATCACATCTAGCATCATAGGAGCTATCTAGCTGCTGCTCACAGGCAATCACCTGTTGGAGTAAAAGACAGGGATGGTTAAATGCCCACATTTAAGAGCACACCCACAGTTGGAGGAATCGTTTACAGAATACTAAGTGGTATAAACAGATATGCACACATTTAGAAAGCTAAAGCATCCATCCCATTGCCAAAACCCCCGCAGTATTTAAACTAGAGAAAGCAGGTGTCCATGAACACCACATTCTCTGGGCAGATGTTCTCTGATTTGGAGAAAGGGTACAAATCCATGGCTTTTTCAGTTGAATAAATTGCATCCCACAACAGAGGGAGTAGAAGGAAACTCAGGAACTCTACAACTCTAAGTGGCTTAGTCTTGCTAAGTAATTATTGTAAGTATACTTCTCTCTCTATGAAGTGAAACAATCAGGAAAGCAGAAGCTGGATTTACTATCTCTTATTGGGTCCTTATTCAAACAAATCAGCCAATTTCCAGATCAAGTGGATCTGGACAAAGTTCATTAGATCACAGCAAAGTATTTACCTTCAAATACATTTCAGCTCATCCATAATGCTGGATGAATCTAGAAGTTTTCATCCCATTAGCTGCTGATCTAAAACAACATGTATGCCACTAGTTATATAGCTAGACCTATGTGTATGAACAGAGTGTGCTGATAAAAGTAAATATATATAAACAGAGTAGTTTCATGTGCTATAAACAGATGTACTTGCATGTGTGTGCACACAAATACTCTAAGTAGATAAGCTTATTTATAAGGAAATATTTCTCCTGTCTCAGCTTAAAATGTATCTTTATATGCTTCAAATTCAGTTAGAAAAAACCTCCACAGAATCATAATGCATCTTCTTCATTCATAATAACCTTTTCCATTTTGTGCTGAAGCAAGTATGGATATATAGTATTAAAAGCATTCCAGGTGCAGAAGTCAAAAAATAGAGGCTATAATGTGTCACAGTACCATTCTGGGCTCTTTCCATCCATGGGGAGATATCTATAGTTTCAGAGCTTGAAAGGCTGGAAAGTATCAATAGTAGTACTCTGTTCTTCAACATTTTAGTATGCATTTCAGACTCTTGATCCCTGTCTCTAATCTTGGAATTTCAAAAACAAACCTCATTTTAACCTAATTCTTCCAAACATGTAAGACAGAAAGGTTTAAAACACTTTTTTAAAAGGGCATTGCTATTTCACTTGGTGAAAGGAAGGAAGAAAGACAAAGAGCAGAAATGCAGAATACAGCAGCTTGAGTACCAGTAACAAAATGCTTTAAAACCTGACCTCTGGAGCCATCCAGAACGGGGTGCCCACGGAGGTGTTCCGGCGGAGACGAGTGCTGGTCAGCTGAGCAGACACACCTGGAAGAATGAGGGGAAGCTATCATCAGGGCAGTGGCTGTTTCCATCCAAGACAGCCCTTCTGAAGGGTGACATCCTCGTCTTGTCATGCTACAACTCCCTGCACAGGTGAATCTCAGATACATCTTTCCAGTTCTCTGGAAAAAGAGGCCCAGTCCTGAAAGGTTCTCCGCATCCTTTTTTCCAGTGGCTTCAGTAGGACTGGGACTTAGTCCCAAATGAGCATTTGATTAGTAATCTGACTCCTTATATTTTGACTGGTTAATTAAAGGTTTTCTATATCCTGTTTTAAGACAGCAATAAAACACCTTAGGGAGAGTGGAAAAGTGCTGTACCTTCTACAGCTTCTAATGCTCAGTACTGACACTAACCCACTAACCCTCTGTTTAGTTTTATATATATATATATATATATATATATGCACATATATATATATCATGTTAATACTAAAAAAGATAACTATTCTAGTCTCTTAACAGCTCTGCCATAAAAAGAAGCAACAAAACAGTGAAACCTCAAAATTTCTTACAAAAGCAGAAGTCCCTCCATGCTCAAAGCACATTCTCAAAGCAACAATCCTGTAAATCAGCTTTGCAGTATGAGCTGTAGTTTAGGGAATTAACTATTTCAGGCCAAGGATTGGAAAGTGAACTCTGAATTTCAATGATTCCTTGCAGTTTTGAGTTAGAAGACACTGAAATATTAAAATTCAAGTGGGCTACAGCACAATTCTGAGCAGTCTGCCACCAATTTCCTTCCTTAAAAAACAAGGGTGTATTGGTCGGAAATAGCTCTAGTGCCTGCAAAGGGAAAATACAACACGGACAAAACCAGCCCCTCAGCCAGCATGCCCTATACAATTATGAATTTATGAGTCACAAATAATAGTGAAGTCCACACATGGAGAAAAACAGCCCTTCAGCTAGCAAGTCCTAAACTTTTATGGATTTGAGTAATAGCTAAAGTGAGGTCCACCAGAGGCATATTCTGAAGAGCTGATGCCATGGATGGCCAGAAAAGCCCTGTACTCTACAAACACATGCTCCAGCCTCAGTCTGGCACTGGAGTTCACTTATTTTGCCTCCATACATACATCTGCTTTTTCTTTAAAATGTAAAACAACTTGGTTTCACTCTGTGAGCTCTATTTCATTGTTCTGAAACACATGAAATTTCAGTGAGCACCACTGTCCAGTTTCAACTCTGTGTTGTCTGGTTTGAAAATGCTTGCTGAAAAGCCTGCAGATAGTTCATAACAAGAGCAGTCCACATTATCTATCCAATGGGAATATTAACTAAACCTCTGGGCAGGGTTTGATTATTTTGGGGTTTTTTTCAGTACAGGTAAGAAACCATAGAGAGCTTGATCTGTTTTTTCACTCTAAAGCTACATGTTCAGCTTTGATTCACTAAATATTTGTATTTGGCTCTCACAGAAAAGTATGCAACATCTGAAAATAAAGACTTCAAGGAATACCCCACCTGTTCCTTTGAGATAAATGCAACCACTGTGGCTGCCTCCCTCTAGTATAAACCAGCCTTGAGAAAGTTTGATCTTTTTCTCTCTTTATGTCTGCAGAAGTCCAATACACAGTGTTCTGCATCATAGGAAGCAGGACAATGTGAGTCTTAGCACAAAGTCCATCAATCCTACTAAGCAGGGGCTTTATTTTTGCCATCTCAAGGAGTTGTCTGAGATCCAGCTTCCGGCTCACGGAGTCTGTGGCTGTTCTGGGCTCCCAGAAAAACATGTCACTCATCACCTCAGCTCTGAAACCACTGCAGGGATGCCAACAGACATTATTATGTGAGATCCTTGATTTCAGAGAGAGCTGAGGCTACTCTCCCTTCCTCCATGTCGTGGGAGTTGCCAGTGCAAAGCTCTGTTTTTGCCGTCTTGGACAAAGAGATGAGATCCTGATCTGAAGGCAAAGAAGGACACTGACTATATTTTTATGATTCCAGTGTCAGATTTTATAAATAGTCATAACTTTCTGTAGAGATAAGGAACAAAATATAAAAGGCACATTAATGTGTTCAGTCTTCTCTGTCTATACACTGTTAGGTTTTTCCTTCTTCAAACTATAATTATTAAATGAAGATTTTTTTCCTCCTCAGCCTTCTTTCATTTCAGTAAAAAACTGATTTAATTTGAATTGTTCACCACTTTCTTTAGGCTCTCGGGGGTTTTGTGTGCTTTTTGTTTGGTGAGTTTTTTAAATCCTTTTGCTCTCAGCATTAAAGTGGCATTTTAGATTATGCAGTGTAGGTCTTATGACAAATGATATTTCCTTGGGCTTTTTCTGTGTATAGAGGAAAGATGATGTAAATCCACACTTAGTAACATTTCTTCCAGCATTTCAGTAACAAGTCAAGCATATAGCTGGCCACTTCTTTTAACCTACATATTTTCAAACAAAACCATCTTGCTCCTCCTCTCCCCATTTGCTACTGCTTTGTTGCAAAATAAGCCAAATATTATCCTAAGAAAATCTAAAATATGTCATAAAAGGATGTTTTATTACATATGAATTATTTTATCTTATAAAAGTTAAGAGCTTTATTAATAGTACCAAAGCACACCAAAAAGAAAATACTGTGTGTATAGCTGCATTTCTTCTTTTTTTCTTTTTTTCAGGCACCATTTTACTAATAAAAACTGCAGGACACTTATACTATGACTCTTTTTCAAGGTTTTAATTGTGAAAACAGGCATATTGAAATAACCTTGCAAGTAAAGCCATCTGCTTCTGACCTTAGCACTCAAAATAAAGAAAAAGGGCAGAAAATAGTTCCCTATTGTTAGGAAAGACTTGTCTCACAGTGCCCAATCTGAGCAGACAACATTATGATCTCAACTGGGAGGCTGTACAACATCCCTTTACGATGATGTCCTGTGACAGAAGTATGCCCATTTTAGTGCCTGATGCTAGTGAGGGAATGCCAAGCCCTAGTAAATTGTACTAATCTCCCATTTGACACACAGCAGGGGGACTGCATTCATAGATAACGACCTTGACCTTACCCCCACAGGCTTACACTCCTTTAGCTATTTCTTCCTTCTTTATTTGTGACTTCAGCGTACACTTTACTACCAAAGCATCCTCATTGTGATCTTCTGTAGATTAAGAACATGTAACTCCACCATTCCTCAAGGTAGTGAACCAGAAACGGCTCACACTGTTAACTCTGCAGATCTAAACAGGCCAAAATGCTTTGAAGTATTCCCCATTTTTTTTTAATCTCCTAGGGAAACAGACATGAAACAGCAGCAGTGTTTCACACTGCATTCCCCTTAAGCTCTCTGGCAGGTATATTTTGCCATTCTTGTTCCATGTTGTATGATGCAAAAAGTGGCCTCTCCTTCCACACCTCTTTGCTCAAAGGTCTTTTATAAATCACTCAATTACAGCTTTTTTAGTAGTTTTGGTGGCAGCAGATCCTAATGGTCCCAGGTTTTCCTTTAGCACCTTAAGCTTCACTTTAAGAAGAGGCCACTATTCCTGTCAGGATGCAGACAGGGAAGTAGCTATTTCCCTCTCAACGTGGTGGAGTTATAACTCAATTCCTCTGCAATTGCTGATACCCTTGACACTGTGTTTATTTCAGGTTGTATTGCTGCAATGACATATATCCAGACAGAATATTTCAGACAGGTCAGCTGATATGCATACAAAATGCTAAGAAAAATCTCAATCATGCAATTCCTTCATACTAAAAAATGACAACAGACAACAGGGAAAGACCAATATTAAACCAAGGCAATTCTGGTACTCCAAATGACAAACATCACAATGCACCATGTATGTAACTACATGCAACCACATATAGTGGAATCCCCACTAAGACTGTAAAAGGAAATCACAGAGCTTCTCCCAAGTTAAAATACTTATCACAAATAGAAAGCATAGAGACATTTAATTGAAAATGTTACTAAAAGATCATAAGGACAAAATTATGGGTTTGATGACTTTACAAGAGATGCTTCAGAACCTTTTTGAAACACTGTCAATATTCAAAATTCGTTATGGATTATAAACCGACTCCAAAATAAACTTTTAAATTAAAAGAGCACAGAGACTATACAGCTTAACAGTGAGCTGTTGTGAGAAAAGCATGCTTGAGAACTTCTGCTCAGTGATAAGGGCTCAAATTAAGTCTAGAACTAAAAATTAGGTTGTGACCTATAAAATGGAAATAAAGAAATAGGAAACAAAGCTGAAATGATAGGTCCAAAGTATTAGAATTTTCAGCAGTATTTTACGTTGGAGGGTGTTAAGTTATGAGGAAGCATGACTTGCTTTTCATAAATCCATGCTACCTCCTCCCAGTCACCTTCTTGTCTGTCATAGTTTAGAAATTATTTACAGGATTATTGGCTCCATCACCTTCTATGATGGAGAACATATTTAGTAGTTCTGACCAGACTGTACTTCTCTGAAACCTTCTTCTTGCCTCTGTTGAAGATTGGAATGAAAGTAATTTTCTTCATTGCTTCAGGAATCTCCTCTAATCTCCAAGATGTTTCAAAGATTATTGGCAGTGATCTTGTAATGACATCAGTCAGTTCCCTCAGCACTCTTGGGTGCATCCCAACATGCCCCATGGGCTTGTGTCCACCCAATTCTTTTAAATGCTCTCTAACCTGATCCCCCTTTACTGAAGGCACATTTGCCTTGCTCCAGACTTCCCCACTTGTCTCAGGGATCTGGGATTGCAAGATAAGACAAAGTGGCAAATAAGAGATTCAGTGCCTCCACCTTTTCCATGTCCTTTGTTCACATTCTCCATCTTTCTGTATTATTTTGATGTACAAAATGTTTTACTGTTGAAAACAAGTATTTCCCAAACCCTCAGGAAAACACACACTGTAGATGCAAATTTTTAACTAAAATAGACATAACCAAAGGATAACCAAAAGGCCCAGAAAGATCAAAAGCTTAGTATCCAGGAAGACTGTATCTATAAACTGCCTAGGAGATGAAAAATACATGGCATGTA